ATACACACACAAACAAACATACACACACAAACACACACTCACAAGCACAGAAACACACACAAAACTTTAACTTACACAAACACCCACTCACAAATAAATACACACACACACATACGCAGAAACAAACATATACACACAAACACCCACTTACAAATAAACACACACACACACAAACACACACAAACATACACATACTCACTCACATACACACACACACACACACACACACAATACACATACTCACACACATATACACACACACACACACACACACACATAAACAAACATACACTTACAAACACACATGCACAAACACACTCACATTTACATAACCACACTCACAAACGAACACTAACTCACACACACAAATACACACATTTTCTCACAAACACATGCATGCACAAACAAACTCACACACACAAATACACACACAGTCTCTCTCACACAAAAACAAACACAAACTCTGTCACAAACACGCATACACGCAAACAAAAACACACACAAACCCACACACAAACAAACACTCTCAAACACACACACACACACCTACACACACGCCGAGGGAGACCGCAGGCGCCAGTCCACCCCTGCTGAGACCCTCTCCATTGGTCACCCGTTACAGCAGCGTAACCCCCTTCCCTTCATTAGCCGGAGACAATCAGCCACACACACACACACACACACACACACACACGCCGAGCGCTGTTCACACTCTCCCCCACACAAGACCCCCAAACTCGCCTTTGAACACTTTGTGGAGACTTCCCCCTCTTAAATCTGGGAGTGGGAAAGGTCCCCATCACAGTAAAGAGAGAGGGATGAATCTGGAAAATGCAATAAATCTGAGATCATAGGCGCGCTCCGGCCTGAGATAAATTCTTGCACCTCGGCCCGGCCGCCGCACACATCTGCCTTACATTTAGACACTTTTACATGGAGCAGCACCACAGGAGCCACTGGAGCTCACACACACACACACACACACACTGCAGAGGAGGAAAACACATCAAGCGCTTTAACACCTCTGTCTGTTCTGCAAATGAAGAGACTTTCATCTAATTAATGCATCTTTTAATCATATAAACGGGCAGTGCGGTGGCACAGTGGCTAGCGATGTCGCCTCACAGCATGATGGTCGCTGGTTCGAGCCTCGGCTGGGTCAGTTGGCGTTTCCTCCGGGTGCTCCGGTTTCCCCTGGTTTCTAGTTTAATTACTAACATAAGCAAACAATGAACAATTTATTTATTACAGAATGTGTTTATGTTAGTGTACACTACCTGACCAAAGTCTTGTCATCAATCTCAGTTATAAGAGCAGCAAATAATAACTGGACTTGTAGTTGATGATGTGTAAAAGTGCCAGTAGGTGGTGAATCATCTGTTATCTGCATCCTAATCATCACCAATACTGCAGAAGACCTACTGGAACCAGCAAGGACCAAGATTCTCATAGAAATCAGTCAAGTTTGGTGAAGGAGACATCATGGTTTGGTGTTCATTCAGTATGGGGGCGTGCGAGAGATCTGCAACATCAACAGCCTGAGAAATCAAGACATCTGTGCTGCCCATTACATTACAAACCACAGGAGAGGGACAATTCTCCAGCAGGATAGCGCTCCTCATACTTCAGCCTCCACATCAAAGCTCCTGACAGCAGAGCTGATCCAGGATTGGCCAGCCCAGTCACCAGACATGAACATTATTGAGCTGATGAAGGAGGAGGTGTTGAAGATGAACACAAAGACTCTTGATGAACTCTGGGATCCTGCTGAACTCTTTCTTCTTCATTCCAGATGACTTTATTAATCAGTGATGTGAGTCATGTCAGAGATGTATGGATGCAGTCCTCCAAGCTCATGATGGAGTCAGACACAATATTCATTCTGTCTCCACTGCAGCAGGACTTTATATTCTATACTGGACATTATTTCTGTTCAGTGATGAGACTTTAGTCTGAGCAGAGTCAGAGCGCACTGTCCTCATCAAATCAGTCAACATCAAGACATGATCAGATTAAATTGAGCTCAAATCAGTAAAATCTAGAGGCCTTCACCTTTCATAGAGACACTACTGACACCAAATCAGCAACTAGAAGTCCACTTATTATTTACTGTTCCTAAAATTGGATAGGCGACAAGACTTTAGTCTTTTTTAGTTAATAAAAAAACAGTTGTTCATTGTCAGTTCGTCTTAAAACATGGTGCTTTAACTAAAGCTGTCAAACATCAATTTGGATGTCAATAATAATGCATTAGTACATGCAGAACTATGATTAATAAATGCTGTATCGTCCATAATTAATGCATTAGGTAATGAAAACTGATTGTAAAGTGTGACTGTGTTGTTACTTTATAACTTCTTACACTCAACATTGATCTCGCTGCTGTCTGTAAGGAATAACTGAGATGTTATTGATTCATTCTGCTCTTCCTCTCAGTATAATGTGCTGTTTGTGTTTTATCCGCAGCTCAGGCTGAGTACACGTCTGAAGACGAGCGTCTGCAAGCGGCTCAGAAAAGGTAAGAAACACCTGGAGAATCGCCTGTGTGTGTGTGTGTGTGTGTGTGAGAGAGAGAGAGATTGATGTGCATGTAAAAGCGCTGCTGTGTGGTTTATTAGCAGATCACATTCACACCTGCCGTTTGTTTCGCTGTCTGCACTCATTATTGTCACCTGATAAGAAGCTCCCTAGTGAGTCGCCTACTGTTGAAGACTAAATTATTCGCCCTCCTGGCAAACTTTTATTCTTTTCTAAATATTTTCCTTTATTGTTTTTTCTTCTGGAGTAAGTCTTGGCTGGATTTTATTTATTTATTTATTTATTTATTTATTTATTTATTTATTTATTTATTTATTTATTTATTTATTTATTTATTTATTCTTTTTCTTTTCTTATTTATTCTTTTTTTTCTTGATTTTTTTCTTTTTAAAATCTTTATTTAATATTTTTCTATAGCATATAAACTTGGGATACCAATTTTTGGATCGTTATCGTAAGTTATTTTGTTAGATTAGCTCTCGATTTGGCTTCAATACTAATTAATCTAATGTATATGCACAAATATAATATTGTAAAGTTTCCTGTAGAGAATAGTAATCTAAATGGTTTGTTTGTGAGGGGTGTACTCATATATTCTGAGCACTATATATATATATATATATATATATATATTTAAATATACCATATAAATAAATAAAGAAAAAACAACAGCTTATATCTAAAAATAGAAATAACTTAAAATAAAGAAAGAAAAAAGGGAGAAAAGAAAAAGAGTGAAAGAAAGAGAGAACAAACAACCAAACGAACAACCCAATGAATGAATATGAATAGGGAAAGAGACAGAAGGGAAAAAAAGAAGAATAAATAATCAACACTAATGAGCAGATGAATAATAATATGCTGGATTGATGATCATCAAACACTGCTGGTACACAGACAAATATAAAGCATTTATTTGAAGTAGAAATCCTTTGCAGCGTCATAAATATCTCTGACTGTCACTTATTTGTTTAAGATCTTTACTGCTGACAGTTTCTTATGGAGCCAGATCAGTCTCAAAAATGATTCATATAGAAAATGAAATTCATACATGCACAGCACAGTTCACATTTACAAAATCCAATTTGTAAATTCAAAACACAATTCATTAATACGACACAAAATTTATTAATTAACAAGGAAAAATCTGAAATATTTTGGGCAAATGAACTGGATTTGTGAATTTATAAATCTATTTTGAGTTTTATAAATTGAATTTGTGTATTTACTAAGTGTGTTTTGAATTCGCGAGTTGGATTTTTTAAACGTAATTTGTGTTGTGGATGTATGAATTAGGTGTGTGTGTGTGTGTGTGTGTGTGTGTGTGTGTTCAGAGATGCTCAGTTGGTGTTATCATGCTCTTATCATGTGTATTTAAGCGCATCAGTAATACTGATTAGATAAATACTTTTTAAGGCAATGCAGTGGCGCAGTAGGTAGTGCCTCACAGCTATAAGGTCGCTGGTTCGAGCCTCGGCTGGGTCAGTTGGAGTTTGCATGTTCCCCCTGAGTTTGTGTGGGTTTCCTCCGAGTGCTCTGGTTTCCCCCACAGTCCAAACACATGCGCTATAGGTGAATTGGGTAAGCTAAATTGTCCGTAGTGTATGAGTGTGAATGAGTTTGTATGGATGTTTCCCAGAGATAGGTTGCAGCTGGAAGGGCATCCGCTGTGTAAAACATATGCTGGATAAGTTGGTGGTTCATTCCGCTGTGGCGACCCCGGATTAATAAAAGGACTAAACTGAATGAATGAATGAATAAATACTTTTTTTAAATGAATTAAATGTATTATAACAGTGAAAGTGTTTGTGCTGATTCACATGTAGCCAGATGCGGCCGATGGAAAATATCTGGAAGTTTTCATACAGGGGTGAAAAAAGGACAAACACAGCATATTGATTATTTTTCCTGGGTTACATTTGAGTTTTTTTTTCACAGGATACTCATAATGCACACAAATCAACACAAGAACACAGAATGACATTTAAATAAGTGGAAAATAAAGTGAACAAGACCAATACAAATACAAATTCTGGAGTTATAATACTGCAACCTCAAATCAGAAAAAGCTGGGCCCGTGTGGAAAATACAAATACAAATAAAAGAAGGGATTTCTAAATTTACTTCGACTTGTATTTCATTGCAGACAATACAGCAAACATCATTTACCGTGTTCGTCATTATTAGTTTTTGCATACATATGTTGTCCGATATTGGTTCACATTTCAGAAAGAGTTGTATCAGTAAAGCATTTCCCATTTTGTAATGTTGTCATTCCTGTTCACAACACTTTAGGGACTGAAGACTGCAGGTGAGGAAGTGTTTCAGCAAAGAGCTTAGAATGAGCAAGAGGCGACACTCTGGTGTAATTTCGGAAACAGCCACTAGAGGGCAGGGCGGCCATTTTGGAATGAAAACTCCAATAGAACAACAGCATATTATAAGTCTGTAAAATAAACTATTATAAGTGCTGATGTTCGTCATAATACGTGTTGTATTTTCGTCTTTCAGTTTGTATCTAAACTTTAATGCGCTTTTTGAATAAATAAATAAAAAACAAAGCAGCTGCTTGCCATCGCGACAGTAATGAGATCCAATGGACGGTCGATCACTTTCACTCCAAAATGGTGGAATCCGGGGCTGTTGCTGGGCGCTGCTGTTGCAATGGAACGTTCTATTGAGTGTCGCCTCTTGGTCATTCTAAGCTCTTTGGTTTCAGGTGTAATTTTGTCCCATTGTTCCTGCTAGCAAGTCTTAAGCCTGGTTTCTGCGTCAAGTGACCGGCGTAACCCACGGCGCATGCAACGCGCGTAGCTGTGCATTTATACTTCTGCGTGCTAAATCCAATAATATCCAGCTGCAGGCCCGCAGAACCACACACGTTTTAGGCACACACAATCTAGGACACACAATCTAGGCAAACCATATATGGTTACGACGGATGTTATTGTTATTAACGTCTTTTTGAACATCGTCATCGATATATTTTGATATATATGATTAATAAATATTGTACACAATAAACAATAGTGTTTACTTTACTTTATTTCACAAATATTGCAATTGAGACGGCGAATAGGGAGCATCGTTTTCGATCGCCATATAATAGACTGAACAGTTTTTAATCAGTCATAGCTGATCAGTCATTATTATCTGACAATAATATAGCAGATACTCGTTTACTGGCCTTGCTGAACGATCTAATTTGGACAGGTTTAATTTATATAATGGATTAATTTATGATGAAGTAAATAATAGCAAGTTAATATAGGCCATACATTATATGTAATAAAAATATTTTTACATATAACAAATGTGTAACACTAAATTCCTATTTTACATACTTGTACATATGATTTTAATAGTGTTTATTTGCTTAACTTTCTAATAATCTCTTAATTAATGATTAATTAATTTATAAGCAGTAAATTGTTTTTAAACCAAAATTTAGCAATAGGAACAAATTAACTATTACTAATAAAAAATAATAAGTATATATATATATATATATATCCCTGCTGAAAAATCCAGCTTAAACCAGCCTAGGCAGGTTGGCTGGTTTTAGCTGGTCGACCAGGCTGGTTTTAGAGGGGTTTTGGCCACTTCCAGGCTGGTTTCCAGCCATTTCCAGCCTGGTCTTAGCTGCTCAGGCTGGGAGATGACCAGCTAAAACCAGCTTGACCAGCCTAGCCAAGCTGGGAGTCCAGCCAAAACCAGCTTTATCCAGCTTAAACCAGTCTGGTCAAGCTGGTTTTAGCTGGATTTGGCTGGTAATTTTCCAGCCTGACCAGCTAAGACCAAGCTGGAAATGGCTGGAAGGCAGCCTGGAAATGGCCAAAACCCCTCTAAAACCAGGCTGGTCAACCAGCTAAAACCAGCCAACCAGCCTAGGCTGGTTTAAGCTGGATTTTTCAGCAGGGTATATATATATGCCTATATATAACTAACAGCTGTGACAGTTTAGTAAAAGATAGTAGTTTATATATAAACTTATAATCAGACAATCAGTTAAGATAATCAGTTTATAACTATATATATTGTTTAAATGATTAACTAGTAGGCTAATTTATTTTAAAGTGACATATTGTTAGCTTTTTATATTTTACAACAAAGTGAATTTAACCAAGAATGATAGGCTAATATTAAGATCTTGAATTATTTTATTACACATAATCCTACAATTAGACAGTCTGTTATGTTTTCTTTGTGTATGTGGACATATGAATAAATTCATAAGTGTCTTTAGCCAATTTTTATTTACATAATTTGGGTTCAGAAACGGCAGAGATGTTATATGATCGTAATGATATAATAATAATATTAATAATGACTGAAATGGGAAACCATACTTGTGAAATTCAATAGGTGGCGATAATGCTAAAGAGTTAGTTCCCATATATGGTTTGCCTAAATCGTGTGTCCTAGATTGTGTGTGCCTAAAACGTGTGTGGTTCTGCGGTGGTCTGCATTAACACTTCCGAAACGCTAGTTGGCAGTGTCTCTGTGTCGAGTTTCTTCGCTGGTGTTTAGCTATATCATAACAAGTAATGCTATCCCGGTATGGCGCAGCCCTAGTTTGCAGTAGTGGTGCTGATTTATGTTTGGGGTGGGTGCTGCTGTACTCTGCAGTTGTGCTCAGCAGTGTTGGCGAGTAGGAAAGTTAATTTTGCGCAGCGCTCTGTGTGTGTGTGTGTGTGTGTGTTAATGAAGGTGTGAGTGGTCCAGTATTGATCAAACGCCGCCGGCAGCTCCAGCTTCAGTCTTCAGTGTTTGAGTTCTCAGGGAATCACCTCATTAAAGTGATGGATTCGGGCTGGATTTGGGTCTGGGTCTGGGTGGGCGTCCATATGTGCCGTCAGCTTTACTGCTGCTGAACATGACCACAGCTTTCATCCTACAGGAGAGAAGAGATGATCTAGTGGCTCTCTGCAGTCCGTCACGTCTTCACAAACACTCAGTATTATTGTGAAATATATAAATTGTTTATTTGTATATTTTTACCTGCAGTAATATATTAGTCTGGATTAATTTCCTCTTGATGAATTGAACAATTTTATTCAAAACGTTGTTATTTATATATTTTAGTTATATACTGTATATTTGTATATATTATGTAGTATTTTAGCTATTATATAGTATTTTAGTTGATTTACCTAGCATGGGGAGCTTGAGTTTTATAATTTTATTGGTTATTTTTTATTTATATATTGTTAGCTGTGTATATATATATATATTGTAAATAATATTATTATAATATTATAGTATATATAATATTGTGGAAGTCTGGGAGTAAAGTTCTGTCATATCGTTAGGAGAGATCAGTGTTAAAAGAGTTTTGTTTATTTTTATTTATTTTTTATTAGTTTTTTGTTTTATTTTGTTTTATTTTTTGTTTTGTTTTTTATTTAGTTTTTTGTTTTATTTTGTTTTGTGTTTTGCTTAGTTTTTTGTTTTGTTTTTTGTTTTGCTTTGTTTTTTGTTTTGTTTTTTACTTCTGTTTTTTGTTTTATTTTGTCTTTTGTTTTGTGTTTTGCTTCGTTTTTTGTTTTGTTATATTTTCCGTTTTGTGCTGTGTTTTGTTTTATTTTGTGTAGTTTTTTGTTTTGTTTTGTTTTGTTTTAGTTTGTTTTGTCATGCAAGGCAAATTTCAGTCTGACAGTAAAGTTGCATCATATCATTAGGAGAGATCAGTGTTGACTGTGGTTTATTTAGAGTTATTTAGAATAAAACACTTATAAAAAATGAAATGTGTTTCTCTATATATTAATATAATAATACATTTGTCTCTGTATTTGTCAAGAATTAATTTAATTATTTAATTAATTTTTTTACATTTTAATTGCATTGCTTTTTTTGTCTAGAGTGATTTTGCCGTTGTCAGGGGGGTTGACAAATTTAATAGTTGAATTTAATAAACATTTTTATTCATATAATATGATCTACAGTAATATGTTTATATTTTGTTTATTTATTTTTTACTCAGATAATTGTCTTTAATTTTTTTAGCTGCAATAATATATTAGTCTTGATTGATTTTTCTTGCATGCAACGCTTGATTAATTTAATTTTAGAAATAGTTTTTTTTATATATATATATTTTTTTACCTGCAGTAATATATTAGTCTGGATTGATTTTCTCCTGATGAATTGAACAATTTTATTTTAAATGTTGTTATTTATATATTTTAGTTATGTACTGTATATTTGTACATATTACATAGTATTTTAGTTGATTTACCTAGTATAGGGAGCTAAAGTTTCATAATTTTATTTATTTATTTTTTATTTATAAATTGTTAGCTTATGTATGTATACATATGTGTGTGTGTGTGTATGTGTGTGTGTGTGTGTGTGTGTGTGTGTGTGTGTGTGTGTGCGTGCGTGTGTCTGTGTGCGTGTGTCTGTGTGTGTGTGTGTGTGTGTGTGTGTGTGTGTGTGTGTGTGTGTGTGTGTGTGTGTGTGTGTGTGTGTGTATATATATATATATATATATATATATATATATATATATATATATATATATATATATATATATATATATATATATATATATATATATATATATATATTATGTAATATATAATATTTTATTACCGGTCAAAAATTTGCGGTAAAAAAATTATTGTTCATCATGTAAAAAAAATGTATTTGTTAAAATAATAAATTTAAAGTAACTGCTTTCTTATTGTATGTAGTTTCAAATGAAGTTATTACTCCAGTCATTATTGCTTTTATTACTATTTCCATTAATAATAATGATAATAATTAAAATTAGTGATTTCTGAAGGATCATGTGACTCTGAAGACTGGAGTAATGAAGCTGAAAATTCATCTTTAAATCACTGGAATAAATTATTAAATGATAAACTATTTTTAAACAGTTATTTTATAGGGCAATAACTTCACTATTTTACTATTTGTACTGTATTTTGATGAGATAAATGCAGCCTTGGTGAGCAGGAGAAGCTTATTTTAAAACATTTAATTATCCTACTGACTATTATTCTATACTATTAGTCTATTCACATTAGTCTGAAGGGCTTTTTCTAGCGCACACTGCTTGAAGAATTTGATTATTATTATTATTAGATTTTTTATTTTTTTGTATATTTTTATCTGCAGTAATAAATGAGTGTGGAGGGATTTTTCCAGCCAGTGCTTGATGAATGTGTGTGTTCAGTCGTGCACCTGAGTGTGTGTGATCAGGCCGTGTTTTACGCTCCATTGAGTTTCTCCATGGTTCATGTCATGTGTGATCCGTCATTAATCTCGGCGCTACACTTGATTTGCGGCCCCAGAGCGTGGCTTTCTGCACTGATGTCACATTGGGTTGTCTTTCTCTTCGTGCTGTTTTACTCAAAATGACACTCAGTCAGCATCTGCTCGCAGAAGCTTTCACTCACGCTCCTGAGAAATAAAGCATTCATGATCAGGTTCATGTTGACAACGCATACACAGACAAAAAATTAGTTGTTTAGCTTTTGTTTTGATTTGGCGTTTGATTTTTTCTTTTGTTTAACTTTTGTTTTGTTTTGTCTTTTTTTAAGCTTTTGTTTTGGATTGGTTTGGGGTTTTATTTTTGCCCTTTGATCAACTTTTGTTTTGTTTGGGGTTTTATTTTTGCATTTTGTTTAACTTTTGTTTTGTTTTTGTTTGGGATTTTATTTTTGGCCTTTTTAAGCTTTTGTTTAACTTTTGTTTAGTTTTTTTCATTTTTACCTTTTGTTAAGCTTTTGTTTTGGTTTGCTTTGATGTTTTATTTTTGCCTTTTTTAGCCTTTTTTTAACTTTTGTTTAGTTTTTTTCATTTTTACCTTTTGTTAAGCTTTTGTTTTGGTTTGCTTTGATGTTTTATTTTTGGCCTTTTTAAGCTTTTGTTTAACTTTTGTTTAGTTTTTTTCATTTTTACCTTTTGTTAAGCTTTTGTTTTGGTTTGCTTTGATGTTTTATTTTTGGCCTTTTTAAGCTTTTGTTTAACTTTTGTTTAGTTTTTTTCATTTTTACCTTTTGTTAAGCTTTTGTTTTGGTTTGCTTTGATGTTTTATTTTTGCCTTTTTTAGCCTTTTTTTAACTTTTGTTTAGTTTTTTTCTTTCATCTTTACCTTTTTTTAGCTTTTATTTTGGTTTGGTTTAATGTTTGTTTGTTTTTTGCTTTTTGTTTAGCTTTTGTTTGGGTTTAGTTTGATGTTTAATTTTTACCTTTTGTTTAGGTTTTGTTTTGGTTTGCTTTGATGTTTTATTTTTGCCTTTTGTTTAACTTTAGTTTAGTTTTTTTATTTTTACCTTTTGTTTAGCTTTTGTTTTGGCTTGGTTTAGGGTTTTATTTTTGCCTTTTGTTTAGCTTTTGTTTAGGTTTAGTTTGATGTTTAATTTTTACCTTTTGTTTAGCTTTTGTTTTGGCTTGGTTTGGGGTTTTATTTTTGCCTTTTGTTTAGGTTTTGTTTAACCCTGGTTTTGTTTTGGTTTTGTTTGGTGCTTTGTTTTATCTTTTGTTTTGTTTTGTTTGTTTTGTTTTTTATTTTTGTCCTTTCTTTGTCTTTTGTTTTGTTTTGCTTTGGTTTTGTTTGGTGTCTTGTTTTATCTTTTGGTTCGTTTGTTTTGTTTTGCTTTTTGCTTTTTGTTTAGCTTTTGTTTTCGTTTGGTTTGATGTTTTATTTTTGCCTTTTGTTTTAGCTATTGTTTAGTTTTTGTTTTGTTTATTACCTTTGTCTTTTGTTAAGCTTTTGTTTTGCTTTAGCTTTGTTTGTTTTGTTTTAGTTTTTTGTTTGGGTTTGTTTTTTTTATTTTTGCATTTTGTTTATATTTTATATATATAATGTTAGCTGTATAAACTGTATGTATATATACATAGTATAATACGTGTATTAATACGTGTGTGTGTGTGTGTGTGTGTGTGTGTGTGTGTGTGTGTGTGTGTGTGTGTGTGTGTGTGTGTGTGCGCATGTCTCTGTCTGTGTGTGTAAGACAGAAAAAAGGACCAAACTCTAATCTCTTTTAAAGTGTGCTCATGAAATCATCTCCTCTTCCTGCTGACTGTGATTCTGACTCTCTCTCTGCGTGTTTTCTGTCAGTTTCCAGCAGATGGTGACTTACTTTGGGCTCAAACCCAAGTCTGGAGAGAAGGAGGTTTCTCCGAACTACATCTTCATGCTGTGGTACGAGTTCTGCAGCGATTTCAAGAACACGTGGAACCGAGAGAGTAAAAACATCTCCAAAGAGAGGTACAGTAGTGCAGGCGTTTACAGTAGAGCTGGGTCAGCTAGGGCTGCGCTATTAACCCAAATTCCGTTTAGATTTCCCTTTTGGCTCTCAACGATTATGAAAGAGCATTAATTATTCATATAATTACAGTTTTGGGGGGTGACATGGTGGCTTAGTGGTTAGCACTGTGGCCTCACACCAAGAAGGTCACTGGTTTGAGTCCCGGCTGGATCAGTTCTCGTTTCTGTATGGAGTTTGCATGTTCTCCCCGTGTTGGCGTAGGTTTCCTCCGGTTGCTCCGGTTTCCCTCATAGTCTTAACACATGCACTGTAGGGGAATTGGTGAACTAAATTGACCAAAGTGTATGAGTGAGTGTGTGTGTGTGTGTGTGTGTGTGTGTGTGTGTGTGTGTGTGTGAATGAGTGTGTATGGGTGTTTCCCAGTACTGTAATGCAGCTGGAAGGGCATCCACTGTGTAAAACATATGCTGGAATAGTTGGCGGTTCATTCCGCTGTGGTGACCCCAGATGAATAAAGGGACTAAGCTGAAGGAAAATGAATGTATGATTCAGGAGACAGTCAACATAAATTTAGTGGGAGTCTTTAAGTTTATATTTACAAAACAAATATATCTCTATATATAAATAGAGATAATCTTGTATCATTTGTGCTTTTATTAAAACCAGTTTTTGAAAAATAGGTTTATTTTGAAGATGCGAAATATACCCGCATTTGTAGGATCACTTGTATGTTTGTTTGTTTGTTTGTTTGTTTGTTTGTTTTTACAACTATGTTGAATTATTTTGTACTTTTCTTCAAGGCAACTTTATAAAAATGTCAATATTTACTGCAGACCCACACAAAATAAGATGTGTTTTAGTGAATGCATCATAAATCATGAGGTTTAGCTCTGTTCCTCCACTGATTAATGGTGTTTTCTTGTTTTTCACATGAATCTAACAAACCTAAGTGGAGTTTAACAAGCAAAGCAAGTGGCATGAAGGGAAACGTTGAGTCAGAATGAGCTTTATTGTGTGACTTGAGTTTGACCTCCGTTCACTTGCACTGCAGAGAAGAACTGCATCTGTGTTCGTGAGAGGAAATCATGTTCATTTTCAACAACTATACTGTAGTGTAGGGATCACCAAGCTTGTTCCTGGAGGGCCGGTGTCCTGCAGATTTTAGCTGCATCCCTAATCACACACACCTGAACAAGATAATCAAGCTCTTACTAGGTATACTAGAAACACCCAGAAGCAGGTGTGTTGAGGTGTGTTGGTGACCCCTGCTATAGTATATAGAATCACGGGTGACGCAGTGGCGCCGTATGTAGTGCTGTTGCCCAACAGCAAGAAGGTCGCTGGTTTGAGCATCAGCTGAGTCAGTTGCTGAGTTAGAATCAGTTGGATTCAGTCAGATTCAGTTTTATTAGTTGTTGTGTTATCATAGCAACTGTAGAATCACCACAACAGATCAGTTACTATAGTTGTTACCATAGCAACTGTAGAATCACCACAACAGATCAGTTACTATAGTTGTTGTTACCATAGCAACTATAAAATCTCCACTACAGATCAGTTACTATAGTTGTTGTTACCATAGCAACTATAGAATCACCACAACATATCAGTTACTATAGTTGTTGTTACCATAGCAACTGTAGAATCACCACTACAGATCAGTTACTATAGTTGTTGTTACCATAGCAACTATAGAATCACCACTACAGATCAGTTACTATAGTTGTTGTGTTACCATAGCAACTGTAGAATCACCACAACAGATCAGTTACTATAGTTGTTGTTACCATAGCAACTATAGAATCACCCCAACAGATCAGTTACTATAGTTGTTGTGTTACCATAGTAACTATAGAATCACCACAACAGATTAGTTACTATAGTTGTTGTGTTACCATAGCAATTGTAGAATCACCACAACAGATCAGTTACTATAGTTGTTGTTACCATAGCAACTATAGAATCTCCACTACAGATCAGTTACTATAGTTGTTGTGTTACCATAGCAACTGTAGAATCACCACAACAGATCAGTTACTATAATTGTTGTGTTACCATAGCAACTGTAGAATCACCACAACAGATCAATTACTATAGTTGTTGTGTTACCATAGCAACTGTAGAAAGACCAAACTATATATATAATCAGTTTATTTTCTGTCATTTCAGGCTAAAAGAAGCTCAGCAAACCGTCCAAAAAATCACTGCGGAGAAGAAAGTGGAGACGAAAAAGATCAACGCAAACAGCCTAGTGAGAAAACACACATGCTAATATTAATAGCTGGAGTCAAAATTGTAAAGAATTGTTTTCAACACATTTCTAATCATAATAGTGTTAATAACTCATCTCTAATAACTGATTTATTTTCTCTTTGTCATGATGACAGTAAATAAGCTTAAAAGTGAGATGTAAAGGCTTCACTAGGGTAATTAGGGTAAAGTTAGGGTAATTAGGCAAGTCATTGTATAACAGTGGTTTGTTGTGGAAGCAATCCAAAACTAATATTGCTAAAGGGGGCTAATAATATTAAGCTTAAAATGGCTTTAAAACTATTGAACACTGCTTTAATTCTAGCCGAAATTAAATAAAAGACTTTCTCCAGAAGAACAAACATTAGAGGAAATACTGTGAATGATTCCTGAATCTGTTAAAATTCATGTAAATGTGAATGTTGAAATTGTTGAACAGAAAGAGCGACTGCGAAAGAAAGAAGCGGGAGTTTCGTCCAGCTGAGATGTGGGAGAGGAAGAACAGAAAACACGGAGGATCATCTGACGAGCGCTTTCATCAGAAACACACAGAGGGAGCGTCTGTCAGTGTTTGTGTGAAAAGAGCGTCAGACGGCAGGTAACGCTCACAGCACAGCCAGAAAACACCTTCAGTAGCAGAGAACGTCATATTAAAGCTGTTTTAAAGGTCATTAGGAAACATCCGTATCTAATCAGCAGTGCCTCATACTCATCAGACATGGCCTACGATAAACCCCGCCCACATCAACAAACACTACACTCATTTATAGTCAGAACTAGTGCTTTTGAACCATACTAATGTGTGTATATTATGGTATTTTATGGTAACAGATAATTAACGTACATACTGTAGTATTAACTTAAGTGAACTGATGAACTGTAATAAATAATATATGTAATATACTTTCGTTTTTACTACAGTAAACTGTTGTGTATTGTAGTACAATATACCCTAGAGCTGTAGATAACTACAGTATTGGGCATTTATTTATATTACAATAGCTGTTGTGTTACCATACCAACTGTAGAATCACCACAACAGATCTGTTACTATAATTGTATTGCCATAGAAACTGTATAATCACCACTGCAGACCAATTACTATAGTTGTTGTGTTGCCATAGCAACTGTAGAATCACCACAACAGATCAGTTACTATGGTTGTTGTGTTACCATAGCAATTGTGGAATCACAGCAACAGTTCAGTTACTATAGTCGTTGTGTTACCATAGCAACTGTAGAATCACCACAACAGATCAATTACTATAGCCGTTGTGTTACCATAGCAACTGTAGAGTCACCACAACAGATCAATTAGTATGGTGGTTGTGTTACCATAGCAACTGTAGAATCACCACAACATATCAGTTACTATAGTTGTTGTGTTACCATAGCAACTGTAGAATCACAACAACAGATCAGTTACTATAGTTGTTGTGTTACCATAGCAACTATAAAGTCACCACAACAGATCAATTAGTATAGTTGTTGGGTTACCATAGTAACTTTGAAATTCCTTGTGAAATTTTGTTGTCCGGCGCTGTGAAAAGGGGCGGGATTAAACAAGATGATTGACATTAAAAAAGTGAGCGATTGCTCCATGTTTTAAATTTCTGTCCAGAGAGGTCATGTTTTGATCCTCGATTGGTCTCACGCAGTCAGTTGATGTGATTTCGAAGGTCAGAGTTCACCAAGCTCGAACTTCCCAACGCAGAGATGTGTGAAACTTGTCGCACAAGCTTGCGTTTCTAGTCTGAGGCATTCGTATAAATGGAAGTCTATGGGGAGAGAAGTGCAGTGTGACCGCAGCTTTACTGAACTTGTGTTTCCATAGAAACCACAGAATCACCACAACTGATTAATTCAAGGACTTTACTGTAGTATGGTTCAGAAGCACTACAGTATCCACTATGAATGACTCTAGCGTTTGTGATCTGGGTGGTTTTCTGAAACTGTGTTTGTACTTGAACAGGAAGTCGTGTGTCTCGCTTCACTTTTTTTTCTTTTTTTTGCTTTCACTTTTTCCCTTTTGCCAAACTGCTCGATGTGTGACGCACTTTTACACTCACTATGCAAATATCCTGATGAATCTAGAAGGTATAAATGATATCCAGCCGTGTGTTATGAGGAGGAATGATCCTATTATTGAGTGTGTTTGATGACGTGTGTGTGTGTAAATGAGTCAGTGGCTTTCCCTATTTATTCACAGAATGAAGATCATGTTAAAAACATGATGTTGTTTCCCTGGGAAAACATGTTTTAAATAATTGACTGAGCAAAAGTGTTGGAAGCTCATCGTACATGGTGTCTTTAAAATGTTCAACACCTCAAAACTCCTGGAACATTGCTGATATTTTGATATTAGGCCCAGTCGTGATGTTTGTTTTAAACTTATTAGGTGCAATAAACTTTTATGAACGTCTGCCTGTGCGAAAGAGTTAGAAAACTCAAAGGAAATGTGTCTCCTGATTTATTGCATATTCATTTTATTTTATTATTAAAAATGTTGACATTTTAAAACACTTTGTTTGCATCTTCTTTTTATATTTACGTTTATAAAAGCAGACAATCACGAAGAAAAGGCTTGCGATGTTTATTTCACCATGCAGTAATCATTTCTGTTCTCAAAGAGGTTTTCTGCTAAATTTAATATCTCAAAATTGACCGAAAATGTGGCTAATATACATTTAATTTATTATTAAAAATGTGGCTAATATACATTTAATTTATTATTAAAATGTGGCTAATTTACATTTAATTTATTATTAAAATGTGGCTAATGTACATTTAATTTATTATTAAAAATGTGGCTAATATACATTTAATTTATTATTAAAAATGTGGCTAATATACATTTAATTTATTATTAAAATGTGGCTAATTTACATTTAATTTATTATTAAAAATGTGGCTAATGTACATTTAATTTATTATTAAAAATGTGGCTAATATACATTTAATTTATTATTAAAAATGTGGCTAATATACATTTAATTTATTATTAAAAATGTGGCTAATTTAAATTTAATTTATTATTAAAATGTGGCTAATATACATTTAATTTATTATTTAAAATGTGGCTAATTTAAATTTAATTTATTATTAAAATGTGGCTAATATACATTTAATTTATTATTTAAAATGTGGCTAATATACATTTAATTTATTATTAAAAATGTGGCTAATTTACATTTAATTTATTATTAAAAACATGGCTAATTTACATTTAATTTGTTATTAAAAATGTGGCTAATATACATTTAATTTATCATTAAAAATATGGCTAATTTACATTTAATTTGTTATTAAAAATAGTTAAAAATACAGACATTTTAAAACACTTTGCTTAAATCTTCTTTTAATACTTCATAAAAACAGACAGTCAACAAGAAACAAGCTTGTAATGAATACAACTTGTGTTCATTTAAACATGCAATAATTCAATTCAGTTCAGCTTTATTTGTACAGCTCTTTTACAAAGTAAATTGTGTCGAAGCAGCTTCACATAAATGGTCATAGTAACTGGATTAGAGTAGTTCAGTTTTTAGTGTTTAAGTTCAGTTCAGTTCAGTTCAGTGTGGTTTAATAATCACTACTGAGAGTCCAAACACTGAAGGGCAAATTCGTTGATGCGTAGTCTCATGCTCTCCACTCCTCCATGACCATCAGCGCAGCAGCTCAGGATACGGCCTGATCCAGGATATGGAAACCTTGGGATCATCTCGTCGCTGGTCTTGAATCCAATCAGTGACTCCACATAGTCTGAGGGCCTCGGGATGAGTATCCCCAGGTGGAATAGGAGCCATAGGGAGAAGGTAGCCATAAACAAGAAGGCTCGACCTCCTTTACTCGACTTTGCTATTCTAGGTACTACCAGAAGCCCTGAGTTTTGAGATCTTAAAGAGTGAGCTGGATTGTAGCGAGACAGAAGGTTGGTTAGATAAACAGGAGCTCGATTATTTAAAGCTTTACTTTTTTATACCTTTTTTAAGAGGTATATCCCTGTACTTGGCCGCATTCATATTTCCCTTGATTGCAGTCAGTCATCCTGTACCTGCAGCTGAAAAACACCCCCACCGCATGATGCTGCCACCACCATGCTGCTGATTCTCATTTGCTCTAACTAATTTTCCTTACCGAGTTCCATCAGTATGATCAAACACAGCTGGACTCAAATGAAGGTGTAGAACCATCAGAGGAAACGAACTGCATCCGGAATCGCAAACTTCCTTACTATATAGTATGCTAAATATAGTATGCGAGTCTAGTAGTTTGTCCGGATTCACAGAATTGGAATATCAGTATGCTAGAAGTACCCGGATCGGCGAGATTCTGAAGTGTGCATCCGATGCATCCACTATCCCACGATGAATGAGACACAACTCACGCGGGTAGGTCACGTGATCATGACAAATGGTGGATAAAGTACATCCAAGTTCCATTCATACTAATGTATATATTATGTGTTATAATAATGTATAGGTGAGAAGCAATATTGTAAATTTACAATACGAAACTGAACAGGCAGCCAGTGTAAGGAGGAGAACATTGGGGTGATCTGATCATATTTTCTAGACCTGGTCAGAACTCTGGCTGCTGCATTTTGCATTAGCTGAAGTTTGTTAATAGAGGATGCTGGGCAGCCAGCAAACAGAGCATTACAGTAATCCAGCCTAGAGCTCATAAAAGCATGGACTAGCTTTTCTGCATCAGAGATGGATAGCATACTTCGTAATTTAGCGATATTTCTCAGATGAAAGAAGGCAGTTTTTGTGACATGGGATATTTGATTTTCAAAAGTTAGATTGCTGTCTAATATGACACCCAGATCTTTTAATCATTTCTGATATTGGGTAAATTTGATCTAATTTAATTTATTAAAAGTTTCAGAATTTCAAGTTCAAGAGTTCACACATAGCTCATGAGTTACAAAAAGCTTGTTTGGCAGGAATCCTCAAGCCCAAGGCTCCCTCCCATTTGCAGGGTGAGAGCAAGGCTGGCGCGTCCATGGAGGCCGCCTAGGGTGGCAGAATAGAGAGGGCGGCGTCCCCGACACTACCCTCACCACCCGCGCCCTTAGTTATATCCGCGGCGCCCAAACCCCCTGCCCCCCTGCTTTCACGTTAGGGATGAGGGTGGCGTTATTGTCCTTTGCCTAGAGCAGTAGTTCAGCTTGCTCCGGCCCTGGGTGAGAGGGGAGTTTGAGCTCAGGTAGATCTCAAAAACTTGAAAAGGAAACAATACTGATGCTGGAGGCTAGAATATAGTGCTCATTTGGCTTAGTCTATTTACATATGAACCCATTGGAAACCCACTTGGACACAGAGGGAACATGCAAACTCTGCACAGAAATGCCAACTGGTCCTGGTCCAGTGAGTCACTTTTTCACAGCAACACAACATGCCCGTATCATATAAAGATTCGTATTACTTGGTGTCAGTGTCATTGTGATATTAAAGTGAGTAATGTTCACAATGACACTGACACCGAGTATTAAGAATCTTTATTTAGTGTAGGCATGTTGTGTTGCTGTGAAAAAGTGACGAATCTGCTAATCTGCAAACGTAAATAGCTTACATCTGGAAAGGGACACACGGTCACCAGTTAAACCGTAACACAAGCAGTGTTCTTGCTGTGGGGCGACAGTGTTAACCACTGTGCCGCCGTGCTGCCCTATCTAGATGAAAAGTAGGAGGAGTAGGGGAGCAGTTCAGTTCAATTCGTCTTTATTTCTCCAGTGCTTTTACAATGTAGATTGTTTCAAAGCAGCTTCACAAAGTAGATTATCAACCCAGGCTTATTGTGGAAACGTAGCCTCGCGAATGTTTCTGGAGACCGCAAAATACGTCCTGGGAGGTACGTATTTGAGCAGTTTTTGTTTTCGCGAATCCACGAGAGGCCGCTGTGCGCGCTTTTTCGCGTCTCGGACCGACTGACTGGCTAAACGACTGAACTAACGACCGGGCGGCCAATCGGCCGACCCAGCCCCCCTCCCTAAACCCAAGCGACGATTTGCAAAAGCCGTCCAGAAAAAAAAGCAAAAGTCCTCTTCCAATTTTGACCGCGTTTTCGGATCTCGTCCAGTCACGAACTCCTTCGCTTTTATTTTTTTGGATTCTGTTTTCCATCTTACCTGATTTCTGGAACCACTCTTCCCCGGACTCGATCCCGGTCGTCGCCGTGGCCGGCTCCTCCTCCCTCCGGGCCTCCGCTCCACTCCGCGCTCCGTCTCCAGAAACGTCCGCGGGGCTACGTTTCCAGAATGAGCTTGGGTTGAAGATTATAGTGAACTGAACCAGTGTCAGCCCAGTTTTCAGAGTTCAGTTCAGTGTGGTTTAATATTCACTACTGAGAGTCCAAACACTGAGGAGCAAATCCATCCATTCGCAGCTCCACAAGTTCCAAACCAAGCAAGCCAGTGGCCACAGCGATGAGGAAAAAGCTTCAGGATGGGGGTTTCTTCCAGACGAAGATAGTTGAGGAATGAAGACTGTGGTTATTTATAGTGACTACAGAATCATGTGATTGGAGGACCATGATTAGCTGTGGTAAATCATCAGCACGTGATCCTCTCCAAATTAGTTCATAAGTAAACTTCACAAAATGTGTCCTCTGATTTTTGCTTATGGATTTTAATTTAATTATTTAACAAAAAAAAAAATTTAAAACACTTGATTGCTTCCGTTTTTAATATTCAATTTTTATAAAATATTGTTTGCATCTTTTAAACCTTATTTTAAAAAATAGATGCACAAAACTGCAAAAAAGTCTCGCGTCTCTGCACATTTTACTGCACATTTTGACGAATTTCAATGTTTTTAAATGTTTATTATAAATTTAAATGTGGGGCGACATAGTGGCACTGTGGGTAGCACGATTGCCTCACAGTAGGAAGGTTGCTGGTTCGAGTCCCGGCTGGGGAGTTTGCATGTTCTCCCCGTGTTGGCGTGGGTTTCCTCCGGGTGCTCCGGTTTCCCTCACAGTCCAAACACATGCACTATAGGGGAATTGGTGAACTAAATTAGCCGTTGTGTATGTATGTGTGTGTGTGTGTGTGTGTGTGTGTGTGTGTGTGAATGAGTGTGTATGGGTGTTTTCCAGTACTGGGTTGCTGCTGGAAGATCATCTTCTGTGTAAAACATATAAGTTGGCGGTTAATTCCGCAGTGGCGACCCCTGAATAAAAAAGGGACTTAGCTGAAGGATGAATGAACTTTAAATGAGAATGTCTGAGTATTTTTCTGTCTTGAAATAGCAGTATTTACACACTTAATCAGGCCTGTGTTACTAATCATTAATCAGATCACATCTGTAAATGTAGATTCTCTTCATATAAACACAAATGCAATGAGATGTTTGATCTTGAGGTTAAATTAGCTTGTAAGTTGGAGATGCATGTTAAACACACAGTGTGAAATTGATTTGCGCTGTAATTTATGAAGCGTTTAATGGTGTCACTCAGAGAGAGAGAGAGAGAGAGAGGATTCAAATGTTTGACCTTTTATTAATAGGCTCTTTCCACAGGCCTCTAAGATCTTCATACAAGCCTCTACACACAACATCTGTACAGCAGCGTATATAATCTAGATGACTGAGATCATAAATAGAGGATTAGCATGAAGAAGCGCAGCAGAAACATGAATAACAGTGTCTCGTTCAGTCACATTAAATAAATCCGTTCCACATAGTGGAAACTATCAGTCCTTTAACGTTCCTAGATCTACAGTGGAGATGAATGAAGGCTTGATCTTCTGCATCTGTCACCATTACAGCTCACAGAAAACACCTTATATACATCAGATTATTGAGCGAGCATTCCTCTGGAGCTGGACTAATGACATGCAGGAGGCTTTGCAAACAGGCCCTTTTAGGATGAGTCTGACGAGGACATTTTAGGACAAAACGCAGGATGCAGAAATCTGAAGTCATGTTTTTTTCTGTAACCAAAGTTGGGTCAAAATAGACAAAATCAGTGTTGCATTTATTTTATTACGTTTAAAATGCACTTTTTAACCCAGAGGGGTGGGTTTGTCCACATTTGACCCAATTGGGTTACAAGAACAGCTTTTTTTTTAGTGTTACAGTATTTGCTGTATAATATATTTGCATGTGGATTATTAGAGATAACGCAGAAACTCTACAGTTGAAGTGGCTTTAGGGTTAAAAGCATCATTTAAATTTGATTGAAAACATTGATCCAAAATAGGGTTCTTTGACCCAACATTGGGTTTTGACAAGACACAATTTTTAAACAGTGTTATATTATTTACTAAAAGTACCTTCTGCATGTGGAATATGGAGAAACTCAACAGTTTAAATAGTTTAAGGGGTAAAAGTAAAAAAAAAAATAACCCATTGTTGGGTTTGTCCATATCTGACTCACTGGGTTATGACAAGACACATATTTTGAGTGTTACAGTATTTACTAAATGTTACTATATAGTGTTTTAGCATGTGGATTGTTACAGATACTGGAGAAACCCAACAGTGTAAGTAGTTTAAGGGTTAAAAAGCATCATTTAAATCTGATTGAGAAGATTTATCCATATTTCTGCATGCACATTGTGACATAATATGGAGAAACCCAACAGTTTAAGTGGTTTAAGGGTTAAAAAAAAACATAATTTATGTTTGATTGATAAAAATGTATTCAAAGTGGGGTTATTTGACCCAACATTGGGTTTTGACAAGACATCATTTTTAATAGTTTAATAGTATTATATTATTTACTAAAGTAACTTCTGCATGCTGAATATAGAGAAACTCAACAGTTTAAATAGTTTAAGGGGTAAAAGTGAAAAAAAAAAATAACCCATTGTTGGGTTTGTCCATATCAGACTCACTGGGTTATGACAAGACACATTTTTGAGTGTTACAGTATTTACTAAATGATACTATATAGTGTTTTAGCATGTGGATTGTTACAGATACTGGAGAAACACAACAGTGTAAGTAGTTTAAGGGTTAAAAAGCATCATTTAAATCTGATTGAAAAGATTTATGCCTTATTAATGTTGGTTTTGTCCATATTTGACCCAACGTATCATATTTCTGCATGCACATTGTGACATAATATGGAGAAACCCAACAGTTTAAGGGTTAAAAAAGCACAATTGACATTTGATTGAAAAGATTTATAGGACGTCATGGTGGCGCAGTGGGTAGCACAATCGCCTCACAGCAAGAAGGTTGCTGGTTTGAGTCTCGGCTGGGTCAGTTGGTGTTTTTGTGTGGAGTTTGCATGTTCTCCCTGTGTTTGCGTGGGTTTCTTCCGGGTGCTCTGGATTCCCCCACAGTCCAAAACTGTACAGTGGAATTGGGTAAGCTCCACTAATTGGTACTATATGGCATTTTAGCATGTGGATTGTTACAGATACTGGAGAAACCCAACAGTGTAAGTAGTTTAAGGGTTAAAGAAAGCATAATTGACATTTGATCTAAAACAATGATCCAAAATAGGGTTCTTTGACCCAATATTGGGTTTTGACAAGACACAATTTTTAAACAGTGTTATATTATTTACTAAAAGTAACTTTTGCATGTGGAATATGGAGAAACTCAACAGTTTAAATAGTTTAAGGTGTAAAAGTAAAATAAAAATAACCCAACATTGGGTTTGTCCATATCTGACTCACTATGACAAGACACATTTTTGAGTGTTACAGTATTTACTAAATGTTACTATATAGTGTTTTAGCATGTGGATTGTTACAGATACTGGAGAAACACAACAGTGTAAGTAGTTTAAGGGTTAAAAAGCATCATTTAAATCTGATTGAAAAGATTTATGCCTTATTAATGTTGGTTTTGTCCATATTTGACCCAACGTATCATATTTCTGCATGCACATTGTGACATAATATGGAGAAACCCAACAGTTTAAGTAGTTTAAGGGTTAAAAAAAGTATAATTGACATTTGATTAAAAAGATTTATAGGACGTCATGGTGGCGCAGTGGGTAGCACGATCGCCTCACAGCAAGAAGGTCGCTGGTTCCAGCCTCGGCTGGGTCAGTTGGTGTTTCTGTGTGGAGTTTGCATGTTCTCCCATGTTTGCGTGGGTTTCCTCCGGGTGCTCCGGTTTCTCTCACAGTGGAAACACATGATCTATAGGGGAATTGGGTGGGCTAAATTGTCATGTGTGTGAATGAGTATGTATGGATGCTTCCCAGTGATGGGTTGCAGCTGGAAGGGTATCTGCTGTGTAAAACATATGTTGGATAAGTTGGCGGTTCATTCCACTGTTGCGACCCCTGATTAATAAAGGGACTAAGCTGAAAAGAAAATGAATGAATGAATGAAAAGATTTATCTCTAAATAACCATATTTGACCCAACATTGGGTTATGCACAACCCAGCATTGCTTTATAGTTACATTATATACTTAAAGTAACTTCTGTAGGTGGAATAAGGAGAAACCCAACAATTTAAGTTATTTAAGGGTTAAAAAAACATAATTTATGTTTGATTGATAAAAATTTATCCAAAGTGGGGTTCTTTGACCCAACATTTAAATAGTTTAATAGTGTTATATTATTTACTAAAGTAACTTCTGCATGCTGAATATGGAGTTTAAATAGTTTAAGGGGTAAAAGTAAAAAAAAAATAACCCAACGTTGGGTTTGTCCATATCTGACTCACTGGGTTGTGACATTTTTGAGTGTTACAGTATTTACTAAATGTTACTATATAGTGTTTTAGCATGTGGATTGTTACAGATACTGGAGAAACCCAACAGTGTAAGTAGTTTAAGGGTTAAAAAGCATCATTTAAATCTGATTGAGAAGATTTATCCATATTTCTGCATGCACATTGTGACATAATATGGAGAAACCCAACAGTTTAAGTGGTTTAAGGGTTAAAAAAATCATAATTGACATTTGATTAAAAAGATTTATAGGACGTCATGGTGGCGCAGTGGGTAGCACGACCGCCTCACAGCAAGAAGGTCTCTGGTTCGAGCCTCGGCTGGTTCAGTTGGTGTTTGTGTGTGGAGTTTGCATGTTCTCCCCGTGTTGGTGTGGGTTTCCTCCGGGTGCTCCGGTTTCCCCCACAGTCCAAACGCATGCGCTATAGGGGAATTGATAAGCTAAATTGTCAGTAGAGTATGTGTGTGAATGAGTGTGTATGGATGCTTCGCAGTGCTGAGTTGCAGCTAACAGGGGACCCGCTGCGTGAAAACATATTCTGGATAAGTTGGCGGTTCATTCCACTGTTGCGACCCCTGATTAATAAAGGGACTAAGCCAAAAAGAAAATGAATGAATGAATGAATGAAAAGATTTATCTCTAAATAACCATATTTGACCCAACATTGGGTTATGCACATCCCAGCATTGCTTTATAGTTACATTATATACTAAAAGTAACTTCTGTTACAGATGATATGACAGATGATATGGAGAAACCCAGCAGTTTAAATTTACAAGTTGAATTTACATTTGATTGGCAAGATTTATGTCTAATTAACCATATTTGAGCCAACTTTGGGTTATGGACAACCCAGTATTTGATGAAAAAAATAATTAATCCAACATCGGGGTTTGTCTATATTTAACTCATCGGGTTACGGCAAGACAGTAATGTTTTATAGTGTTAAAGTATTTAAAAGGTACTGTAGTGGTTCTGCATGCGGATGGTGATGGATAATAGGCTATGTCGTAACCCAACAGTTTTAGTTGGGTTAAAATGCGAATTTCTGGAATTTCTGCACGGTGACAGATTCTGCGTAACGGAGAAGCCCAACAGTTTAGGGCTTAAAAAGCGAATTTTTGCATGTGGATGGTGACAGATTTTAATGATCCGTGTAATCTAATAAGGAAAACCCCCAAAAGACTAAGCAGTTTAAGGGTAAAAGCGTTATTTTTCGCCGACCGCATCCTCTCGTCCTCCGCCCTCCAGCATACCGGTCCCCGTGAGCTCCTCCTGGGGCTGTTTATCCAGCTCTAGTCCAGCTCGATGGAGATGCAGCGGCACTGCTTGACCCTCTGCACCCTCTTCTTGCGGGTGGGCGGCTGCTGGTCCGGGCAGCTGAGGGTGAAGCTCATGGTGGTGAAGCGCTTGGGTTTGCAGAAGGAGCAGGACTGGAAGGCGCCCTCCTCCCGGCGCACGTGCCGCGGGATGTAGAATGAGTTGCACTGGCCGTAGCAGAAGCGGTTGATGATGGTCCTGCTGATGCAGCCCTCCTCGTGGATGGTCTGTTTCAGCGGTTGTGTTTTGCACCAGTCCCGCTTCAGGTACCGGCGCTCGGTCACATGCAGCGCCTCTTGGCTGGACTCCAACACCTCCTCCGAGCCCCTGCTGCGGGCCCTGGAGCCGGACGCGGACTCCTGCTGCTGCGGGCTCCGCGAGGACTCGTTCGGGGTGTTTTTGTCTGGATGCGGGATGGCTCCGCGGTTGCGCTTGGACTCAGTCGGACACCAGAGAAGAGCCGAGGAGAGCAGCACCGCGCAGAGGATCCAGCCGGAGGAGGAGGCGCAGGAGGCGGGCATAACTGCGGAGAAAACCGCACACTTTCAGACTCACATACTGTACACAATATCTGTTGATGAACAATTTAGTGTTTATTTACGGTGGTGAACTGCATTATGGGATGTTGATCTCTGCTCTGTCCACTTTTGATGTTGAAATTTTAACTCTACAGTGACTTTTATGGACATTTAATTAGTTTGAAATGATAGAGAAAAGTCTGTAAATTAACAGAACATGTGCTGTCAGTACAGGGTTTTGTGTGTGCAGTGTAATATACAACACCAGCCCAGACGACATTTCACTTTAAACTATTAAAAATGTTCATAAAAGTCGCTTTTTTCCAACTTCTCAAGGTTAAAGTTGTTGAAGAATGAAGAATGATCAAGATCCCATAATGAAATTAAATTAGAGTGTAACAAACAAGGTGAAAGATATATCAGGTCGCAATTCACAGTATTAACTAATCATTGACTAACACTAATCAACTGCTAATTGACTGTTTGTTAATAGTGAGTTAGAAGTTGGGTTTAGGTTTTGGGCAGGTCGGATTGGGGATGCAGAATAAGATCTTTATGATCAACAGTTTAAGTCTTTATAATATGCATGTACCGTAATGGCATGCATTGTGACCTAAACTAAAGTGTTAGCGTACACCAACAGAAGCCAGAGACTACTTATTTTGGCATTGACTTTATGTGTTTATGTTTTATCTGCTAAATGCACTTGATTTTTTGTTAATAATATCGATGAAGGAGGAGCAGGGAGCGGGCATCACTGCCGGAGGAAAGCGCATCATATCAGGCTGATGAACGCAGAAGGATCCGTTCAGGTGCGCTTTCACGCACACACTTGGAAACATGAAGATTTCAACCATATTAATCTGTTAACAAATGATGACACTGTTATATAGATTTCTACAACTATACGGTGTATTTTACTATACTACACCACAGTTTACTGTAGTGAAATTAAAATATATTACAATATTTAATACAGTTTATCAATATTCATATGCGTTTTCCCTTTACGCACACACACGAGAGCTGTGTGATAAAGTGCGATTAATCTGTTAAACATAAACAAATGAGCCATTACTGTAGTTTAAATAAGGTTTATCTTACTTTAATACAGCACAGTTATTACAGTGTTTATTACACTGTTAGTTCACTATACACTTGGCTTGGGTAGCCCATTGGGTCAGATATGGACTAACTCAACTGTTGGTGTGATTTTAAATTTAATTGAAAATATTTAACCAACGCTGGGTTTTTGTCTGTGGGTTTGGGTTACACCACCCAGCATATTTATATTGTATTATTATTATTATTATTATTATTATTATATTATAATTTTATTTATCATTATTATTTATTTCTTCATAAAGTGTAGTTGTTAATACAGTATGCTGGAACGTTCATTAATAAAGGTTTAAAAGCCTACTGTATTATATATAATACTTTATTATGGTTCAGAAACACTATTGTATTTTCTATAAATCACTGTGTTTTTATGCATACTTTACATTTTTCAAATGTTTTTTGAGCTTGTGGGTACCCATATTAAATAATAATACAGTAATTTATATTAAAAAATCTATTAAAATATTAAACAGTGTATTATACTGGATATATTATAAGTTTACACGTTTCCAGCATACTGTAGTATTAACTATAATGAACTTTAATAAACACTGTAGTATACATGCAATGATGCAACGTTAAAATAGCGTTGAATTATTAAACAGGTTATACAAAATATCTGTAAACCAACTTTGAAACTTGAACTAGATTTATAGCTTGAGTCAATATAATTTAAATTTATATTGAAATGATAGCAGTAGTTGCTTCAGAGTTTATATAACGTTAAAGGATTGTTTAAAGCTGAAAAGGTTAGCACACTATTTATAAATCAACACTGAAAATACAAGAACTATAAGTTGAGTTGTTGTTTTCTTCAAATATGTACTGAAACAATTTCCTTCAACATTAAGATAACGTTAAAAGAACATTTAATAATAAATAACTGCAAAGATTGGCTATTGTATAAATCAACAGGGTTTTGCATAAGATCTGTGTTGAAGATATAATATCTTCAATAACTTGCTTTTACGATGCCATTTGTTATTTTAACGTTGATGATACAACATTGAAAAAACTAAATAGCTCTAATAAGCAACTGACCTATAAATGAACATTACATTATTTAACAAGATCTAATATTTGAGTCTAAACGTTTGTTTTAATTTTTATTGAATATAACTGTAAATCAGCAGTGAATAAGCAGATTTAATCTAAATATGGATGAATGGATTTATTTTTATAATTAATTTGCACTCAGTGTTGTTTTAACCCAGCATTGGGTCAAATATGGACAAGCACAATTATTTGTTTAAATATGTAATTAAATTGTATTTGAAAACAACTAACCTATTGCTGGGTTTGACTCTGTTTGACCCAGCATTAAGTTTAAATAACTCAGTATTTTTAGTGTATGTTTATGAAAATGTCAAAGTTTTCATGCACTTTTATTTTCCATCTTAATGTTTTGATTGGATAAACTTTACATTGGGTTAATATGGGCAATTCTTTTTAAAATTAAAAACTCATTGGTTGTTTTTTGTCCATCTTTGACCCAACATAAATCCCCTTTTTGAGTAAACTATTGGGTTCAAATTTGTAATTCAAAGTTAATTGACAAAATTAATCTCATGCTGGGTTTGTCCATATTTGACCCAGCATTGGGTTAAAATAACTCAGCATTTTAGTCTATATTTTTGAAAATGTCAAAGACTTCATGCACTCCATTTTTTATTTTCCATTTTAATGTTTTGACAGTTATTAAACAAACTTTAATCAGCAAAAACTATTACTAATATGCATAAACTCAAGTTTAAAAACAATTGGACAAACCTACATTGGGTTAATTTTGTCAGTTCAGTTTAAAATGATATTTTCCAAACCAATGGTTGTTTTTAGTCTATCTTTGACCCAATATAAATGCACTTTTAGAGTCAACTATTGTGTTAAAATTTCTAATTCAGAATTAATTGAAAAAATAACACTGTGTTTTTTACTATATTTGACCCAGCTTTGGTTTAAAATAACTCAGCATTATTTGGAGTGTACATGTTCTAAAATGTCAAGGATTTATTGCACTCCGTTTCCATTTTAATGTTTAGACTGATATAAAAATCAAACAACATATAATTCAATTAATCTGTATTTCTCCAGCGATTCTACAGTGTATATTGTGTCAAAGCAGCTGAACACAGAAGTTAGTAAACTGAATCAGTGCAGTCCAGTTTTTAGAGTTCAGTTTAGTTCAGTTCAGTGTGGTTTAATATTCACTACTGAGAGTCCAAACACTGAAAAGCAAATCCATCAATGCACAGCTCCACAAGTCCCAAACCGAGCATGCCAGTAAAACAATTATTGATATGCATATATTAGTCTAAAAAACTGTTTTTTGCAGCCCAACATTGGGTCAAATATAGTCATAACCATGGGTTCATTTTATCAATTTAATTTAAAATGTCATTTTTTAATAAAATAGTTGTTTTTTTTGGTCCATCTTTGACCTAACATTGGGCTATATCCCCTTCTAAAGAGAACTTTTAGAGTATAGTTAGTTTTTAAGAGCCATGATGAATCTAGTATGATCGTAAGATCTTGAGTTATATCGTTAGTAACTTGAATAACTCATTTTAAACTAAATGAATTAAATATAAAGTTGTATTTTTTTGTCATTTGTACAGCTGGTCAGCAGGTCATGAGTTCGATCCCCATTTGTCTGCATTATACAGTGAGTGCAAAGTAAGTCCCTTTAGATAAAAGCATTGAACAAATTTATAAATACAGATGTAAACCTGCAGTGAAGACCACAGTAAAGATCCCTCACCTGTCAGCGTGGATGAGCTTCTGCCGGGGGAGATCTTGGAGAAGAAACGATCTGTGAAGCGTCCCATAGACCATAGACAGACAGACACACACACACACTGACGCTCTGCTGTTTAAATGTGCAATACATCTCTGCACGCTCACACCAGACACAATGCTGGAGGATCAGAGCTGTCCGCCCCCTCACACACACATACACACACTGAGAGGAGGCTCCGTCAGTCTGTGCATCACACACTTCATCATTCTACTGTCATTCATAACAGGAACATATAAAAAAAAACATGCATGTTGATCATAAAGTTGTTTATGATGGATTTATGCTTTTTGGCATTTTCAACTGTTTGCAGATGTGTGAATATATGTGTCAGTGGCATGTCCCAGATAATAAAACAAGAAAAATATATAGCCTGTAATGTAAAACAGAAGTTTCGGGCTCTATTAATGTTATGTTTGTTTTGGTTTTGTATGTGCTTATATTTAAATGGGCTGTTCATATTCATTAATTTTTTCTTTTCAATTTAGTCCCTTTTTTAATCTGGGGTCGCCACAGCGGATTGAACCGCCAACTTATCCGGCATATGTTTTACGCAGCGGATGCCCTTCCAGCTGCAACCCATTACTGGGAAACACTTATACACTCTCATACACACACATACACTACGGACAAATTTATAGCGTACCCAATTCCCCTATAGTGCATGTGTTTGGACTGTGGGGGAAACTGGAGCACCTCGAGGAAACCCACGCATATACGGGGAGAACATGCAAACTCCACACAGAAATGCCAACTGACTCAGCCGAGGCTCGAACCAGTGACCTTCTTGCTGTGAGGCAACAGCACTACGTACTGTGCCACCATGTTGCCAGGCTGTTATGATTTTCTACACAATCTTATGATTTTAAAAGACAGTTCAAGCAAATAAAATTAACATTCCCTTCATTTTTTACTCATTCTCAAGTGGTTGAAACTAGAGATTCTGTCTATTGTTGAACACAAATGAAGATATGAGGAATGCTGGAAATATGTGGTCATTTACTTTCATAGTATTTAAAAGAAAATAGCAATGATTTCCAACATTCTTCAGAATATCTTTTTTTTTTGTGTTCGATAGAATAAACTGGAAAATGAATAAATTATGTCAGAATTGTCTTTTTTGAGGGGTGTACTTTAAATATATAGCCATTATTTGAATAATGTTCAGTTATAAAATCAGGTTTAAAGAAAAATTGTGTATTAAAACTATTAAAAAACACCACACGGGGTGGTTTGAACACTATGAGTAGTCTTTATTCCTTTTTCTAAAATCTAAATGGCACCTTTATTTATGATTGAATGTAATTGAAGATAGTTTTGAAACTTATGTCGAGTTATGATAAATATTATTTTGCTCCCAAACATTTGCACAATTAGTCACGTGACACACGAGAACCAATAGAGGTCAAGTTGCAGTTGAAAAACGGCGCCCATTTTAAACTGAAGAAAAGCGCGAAGGTTTGAATGTAACGGCTAAAACGGTTTCATACAAAACTATAATTTCACACAATAGCGCGCCAAGCGTCACATATTAACATTTTTACGATAACTGATGTTGTTTTTTGGTCAAAATCGTCGGAAAACGAGCGACTGGGATGTTTTTCGCTTACAAAACAGCATGAGGTGAGTAAACAATGACAGAATCTGACTGTTTTTCCGTGTAATCGAAAGAAAGAGCGAAGCTGCAATTGATTTATTTCGCCATAGCGCACTTTCTAACAACACATCTGCTCTTGTTTGATTGATTCAGAGCCATTAATTCAGTTCATAATTGTTTAGAGTTTGAGTGTTACGTCAGTTTATTCTCAGCATGTGTTTTTCATTCATCCTCTTTTCTGTCTACAAAACAACCGACCGCAAATATGAACGCATTGTCATTTATAAAACACTGTAGCTCTGGGTTTTGCTCATATACACGATTCATGAGGAAAAGCTAAGCTTAAAACGAGTCTTACAAGGAGAGTAAGGAGAGTCTTACAAAACGAGCAGAATTGATCAGATAATGATACAGATCAACATTTAAAACGGTTTATTTGAAAATACATACAAATATTCTACCAAAATACATTTTAAAAAACAAAATCTGATCTTTAAATGACTTAATTCACCTTATTTGTAATTACAAATAGTTAGAAAATGGGTGAGGTTTTATAATTTTGGTCATTTTTCAATAAGGTTTCATTAATTAATGATAGGTAAAGTACTAACTTGAACTAAGAATAAACAATACTCATACAGCATTTATTCAAACCTAAATATGTACTTGTTAACAGTGAACCAACAATTAACGGATATTTATTAATTAATTCGTCCTTTTTTAATGTATATTGTGTGGTTTGTATTGTTTTGTACTATTGGACCTAGTATCTGGAATAAGGAGAATTATTAATGTTAACAAAGCTTAATAAATACTGTAATATTCATTTTTATTTTATGTTAGTGAATATTTTAGTTGATTAAACCTTATTGTAAAGAGTTACTATTTGGTTTAATATGTATATCCCCCAACAACACACTGAGCTGTACATACTAATATATATCAATGAATCATTGAATACTAAATGTGATTCTGCAAAAGTATTAATTAATAAAAACTTAATTGTCAGTTGTTTAAATCTATTTATTTGAAGGATATATGTAATATATAACAATTTTAAATGACAATTAATGTATTTAGAGAAAAACTGATCCTTCAGTAGAGTATTTTAACAGATCAGCAAAACTAATATGACCAACAATAGTTTTGCAAACTTCTGAAAATGATGACGAAAAGAAAAAACCTTTTAATACATAGTTTCAAAATCTTTAGATAGATATCTTACAGAACATCATGTACATTATAACATTATCAAGTACATATTTTGTTCCATATGGGCCATAAAGTCAGTGGTCTGAATGATTAATGAGTCAGCCATATATTCATGATCCATGTAAAATATGCTCGATGTAGAAAAGTCTTCAATCCTGAGCTCTTTAGTTGTGTTTTTCTCAAGGCCAAATTCCTTCCAAATCCCCTCTAATGGAGATGAAAGCATCAACATCTAAACCTTAAATTGTGCTCCATTATGTGTTTGTGTCTTCATAGAAAAGAAGCTCTGAGACCCACAGATTGAGGAATCGTGCGTCTCTGTAATCTGTGCTGCTTAGATTCTCCTGTAAATCTTAATGGAACAGTAGAGATGATATATTTGGAGGATTAGATGATTTCTGAGTGCTCGTCCTGAAAGAGCCAATGTTTTTCTCCTCTGCGATATGAATATTGCATATCCTGTTATCGCGATAATAATTTTTCGGTATTGTGCATGCATGCACAAGATATATAGTTTGATAAGTTTGTTAAGAAACAAATATGTACTGGAAAAACAGCCCGCCTATAAGATGGTAATAAGGGTTTAAACTTTTATGTGACCCTGGCCTGGTGCACAAAACCAATCATAAAAGCAGAATAAGTAAGCTTTCCATTGGTTAGGATTAGACAATATTTGGCTGAGATACAGCTATTAGAAAATCTTGAATCTAAGGGGTTTTTAAAAAAAATCTAAATAGTCAAAATCACCTTTAAATGTGTTCTTAGCCATGCATATTACTAAGCAGTTAGTTTTAATATATTTACAGTAGGACATTTACAATACATCTTCATGAAACATGATCTTTGTCACAATACTTGAATTTCCAACTTCAATACAATACCTGGGCTGCACAGTGGGTTGCACGTTCGTCTCACCGCAAGAAGGTCGCTGGTTCAAGCCTCAACTGGGTCAGTTGGCGTTTCTGTGTGGAGTTTGCTTGGGTTTCCTTCACAGTCCAAACACATGTGGTACTGTACATGTGATTTGGGTAGGCTAAATTGTCTATAGTGTATGCGAGTGAATGAGTGTGTATGGATGTTTCCCAGTGATGGGTTGCAGCTGGAAGGGCATCCCCTGTGTAGAACATATGCTGGACAAGTTGGCGGTTCATTCCGCCGTGGTGACCCCAGATTAATAAAGAGACTAAACCAAAAAGAAAATGAATGAATGATACAATACCTTGAAGAATATTGATACTCGATACCATTGTTGATACCACCAGGTGTTTAAGAGTATACAAATGAAGTAAAAAGAACAAAATAAACTAAACCATGCAATGTTTTTGCATTTTCAGGTACACGGTTACATTTTATATATATGTATATATATGTATATGTCAGCAGTACTAGTAAATACAAACTGAGTGCAATATTATCTCATTTTAGATTTGAAACAAAAGATTAAATCAATATTATTGCTGAGAGGTTAACACAGAACAACAATATCACTTTAGCAAAGGTGTACTTTATTCTATCATTATTCCAAAGTATGCTAGGTATAGAAAAGTTTCTGTTCCAGCCACAACGTTGCAGAAAATAACAAAAGCAGAAACATATAACAGAAAAAAGACAAAAGCTGAAGAAACGAGTGTGCTGATTTCGTTCTGTTGTGATTGTTGTTCAACTGTTATATTATAATCATACCTGGACGTTTCTAAATCATAAACCAAGTAAATATCCCGCTGGTAATTTAACTCCCTGCTGGTGAGAAGAGAGGGCAAAGTTGGTGTCAATACTAATCAAAAGCATGATTATGTAATTTGATATATTTCAGCATCAAAATTCTTAACACTACTGAATTTCTTTTTTTTTTTTTGTCTATTGCCAACTTAAGTTTTGTTGTCCAGGTTCACAAATAATTCATAAGAATTATTTACTGACACATTTAAATACTGTATTGAAGGATCAGTTTGCCCTCAAAAATACTCATTTTTTTCACTATCCTTCAGCACTATCTTTTACACAAAGAATAGTTTTATCATTTTAAACACAACCACATTTAGCATGACCACAAATTCTTATATATATATTTTAATAAGTATATATTTAATTTCTTTTTGACACAAATCTTACACTGAATGGCTATGAACATGATTTCATCCATTATTTAACATTTTATATTCACTAAAGTTACTTGAAGTGCTTACAGTGCTTTCGATGTATAAAAAAATCACTTTTGTCAGTTTAATGCAGTCTCGTCTTCAGCATATATACTGTTATTAATGTAGTGCTTTGTATTTAAAAATGCAGAAAGTTGTCACACTTTTCTTCTCAATTGATTGTCCACTTATAACTTAACATTTGAATCTTTTACCAAATAATATATAATTATAGATAAAATAAAAGTTTCTGTTCGAGCCACGTCGCAGAAAATATCAATGGTTTTGATTAAAAAAAACCCAAAAAAACTCAATTAACATGGAAAAAAGACAAAAGCTGTACAAACGAGTGTGCTGATTTTGTTCTGTCGTGATTGTTCAACTTTTATATTGTAATCATACCTGGACGTTTCTAAATCATAAAATAGGCAAATATCCTGATGGTAATTTAACTCCCTGCTGGTGAGAAGAGAGGGCAAAGCTGGTGTCAATACTAATCAAAAGCACGATTATATCATTTGAAATATTTCAGCATGGATATTAATCGATATTTTGACAACACTATACTCTAACTTGTCTAATGCCAACTTTTCTAGTTTTGTTGTCTATGTTCACCAATCTCGTCATCATCATTTGAAGTAAGAACATTTAATGACACATTAAAACACATAACAGTCCTATTGGAGGATCAGTTTGGCCTCAAAATACTCATTATTATTACTATCATCATCATGCTTTTTCACTATCCTTCATCATTTCATTTCCCATCATTTCAAACACAGTCACATTTAGCATGACCACCAATTCTTTTATATATTTTATTAAGTATATATTTCTTTTTGACATAAATGTTACACTGAGTGGCTATGAACATTATTTCAACCATAATTTAACATTTTTATTCACTAAAGTTACTTGAAATATTTAAACCAGGGGTCACCAATCTCGGTACCGGAGGGTCGGTGTCCCTGCAGGGTTTAGCTTCAACTTGCCTCAACACACCTGCCTGGATGTTTCAAGTATACCCATTAAGAGCTTGATTATCTTGTTCAGGTGTGTTTGATTAGGGTTGGAGCTAAAATCAGCAGGACACCGGCCCTCCAGGAACAAGCTTGATCACTGATTTAAACAAACTCTTTACTTGCACTTACAATGCTTTCGGTGTATAGTAAAACACTTTTGCAGTCTCGTCTTCAACATATACTGTTACTAATGTAGTTCTTTATGTCTAAAAATGCAGAAAGTTGCCACATTTCTCTTAAGTCAGTGGATAACATGACTTTTGAAGTCTTTTCCATTCATTTAAAAAAAAAATACAATAATAATATGATAGCAAAACAGCTAAATTCAGAATGACTCTCTTGGCTGTATTTTATTATTATTATGACGAAAAGTATATATTTGGCAGGACAATCATTCACATGATGTGATGCAAGACCAGTAAACATTAATACTGAATCATGGCTCTGTGATCAAAGTGCGCCACCAGGTGGTGAAGAAGGCAACCTTCACACAAAGGGATTCTTTTGACAACATCTTTTATAAAAGCAAAACATTTTTATAAGCAAGTGACAGCATTGAGGATATGACATAATGTAAAACAGAACATACATTATCATGAGTTACACTGTGAATGTTGCCTTTAAGCTCTTGAAAATAAAATCAAAGTTTTTGCATAAAATATAAATAAGCTGACACCTACCAAAAACCAACATCTTTTCCCATTCTACTAACATTCATTTTCACTCTAAACAGGATCTTCAACTATTCGTACATTAATATCAGTCTTCACACTTTCACACACTCGTCTTTTCATTTACCCTAAAAAACAACCATAAATTAGCAGTTCTATATTCTGTGAATCATGTTTTTATTCCTCATTTATGCTTTTGAATTGCATTATTAGACTTGGATTTTATGGCACTTTTAATGATATAAAATCTGAAAGAGAGACTTTTATTGACAATTTTAATAGTTTGAAGTGAAATATACTTTAGGGCGGTGTTGTAAACAATATGTTCTAACTAAATGTATAGTTTCAAACTACTAAAATTTCAATAAAAGTCACTTTGTTCAATTGCAGAGTTACATTTCCAACATCAAAAGCCAACACAGCAATGATCCCAAACATCCCACAATGCAATTCACAACCATAAACAAATGGAGAGCCCACATAAATCATGAAATACAGAACCAGTTAATGAACAGGTATTTTTTTTACAGTATATATAAACACATCAAATCTGAAATCTTCATTTCTTGCACAACAGATGTATAACAAACTGCAGTTCAATGTGATCCTGAAATCCACAACCAATAACAGAAGGATCAAGCACTTCCCTTACTATTCAGACCTCCTCGTTCACCTGTAAACATCATATAAATTAAGACTCCTGAATGCGTGAAAGCAGTATTGTTCATTCTCACAGGTCGATGGGCTTCATGGCCGACAGCAGTCTTCCCTCCACAAGAGGGTGTCTGGGTGATCCTCTGTAGTGGCTGGTGTCGTTTTCAGACACTTTCAGCAGGACACATTTGGGATGTTCATCTGCAGCATTCTTACAGTTCGAAAGCATCGCCTTTGGTGCTTTATTAGTGATGTCTTCCAGCGCTGCAGGCTTGACTGCTGTTTTCTTTAATGGAACTGGAGGTTTGGGTTTTACACTCGAATACAAACCACTTTCCAAACTCACAGCTTTTACCTGACTAGCGGCGCACCATCCCATCCTACTTTCCTTTCGCTTTCCAGCCAGAGAGTTAATTCTGGTCACGGACTGCCTGACTGGCGTCCGCTGAAACTTTAAAGGAGAACGGAGCAGTTGAACTTTGGGTGAATGGAGCGTCATCATGTTAAACAGTTTAATCTGATCTGCCACTTTGCTTTTCTTGCTTTCAGCATTATTTTGTTGCTCTTGGGAACTTTCGATCTTCTTTTCCACCAATGAAGACGCTCTGAGCTCATCCTGCAGGGATGTATTAGCATTCACCTGCGATCTTGTTGCATATGGAGTTGACTGAACCCTAGTTGAAGTGTCCAGTCTGAAAGCCACAGGACTTTGGATGTCTAAAGCATCGATTATTTGACTACAGTTTACAGAACGTACCGCAGACTCTTTTAGGTATTCATTTTTGAAGCATAGAGATCCATTAAGGCTGGTTTCCACAAAGCGTGTGGGTTCACTGTCAAACAGAGCGCTGTCGATGTGTAGAGGTGATAAGGGAACGATCTCGATTTGTCCGAACGTCACATCATCGTTTGATTGGCCGGACTCAGATATTGATTTATGCGCAGTTTCCGAAGGCAAATGCACATTAGAGGAATCATCTTGTTGATCTTTCTGTGTAATGATGCTATGAAGATCACTGCCGGACTCTCCAAAAGCCTGTCTGATCTTCAGAAGCGTGTGTCCGGTGTGAGAGCACTCTTCAGGGGTGGTTTCGGGAACGCTGCTGATCGTAGGAGGTTTGCTTACGATGATCAGTGGAGTCTCAGAGAATGAATCGGTCGGGAAGGTCAGTCCTGTTTCAGGAGTTTCTCCAGTCCACGAGCTCCTGTGATCTGTAAAATCACACTGCGGCGTCGACAGGTTATCCTCTGATTTACTGAAGAACTTTGAGCCTGTGAAAGAAACATGGACAGTGTTACAGCAGTCTGTAGGGCTGTCATTGCGATATGAATACAATTTCAATAGATTGTTCATTTACATCGATTGGGGTGATTTTGTAAGTGTGTGAATCATGTACAAAAAATAAACAAAGAAAATTGCAAGCTAAAATAATTGCAATAGAGCAACAAAAAGTCAAATAAACAGCGCTTTACGGCTTTCTGTAGAGTCAAACAGTATTCAGGTGCAGAAAATAAAAAATGTAATGTAAAGTAACACGTACAGTCTTCAGTAAAACTATTCTTCATTAACATTACAAATGTACAAATGCTGTATATTCTTGAAATGCCTTTAAAACACATACAAACCATAAAGTTTCACTTTGTTATGGTTATGTATTCTCAACTGTTGTGTTGATGTACTGTAATTTAGGGTTGCACGGTTTACCGGTATTATGGTAGCATGGTGATACTATGGCTCTAAAATACTGATGGTGCCACTGTAGTGAGTAAACGGTAGGGGTGTCATTAATGGTCTATCTGCAACATTTAATGTTGCATGTAAATCTGCCTAATGCGTCCACGTGTTGGCTGTGGTGTAGCATATGCGTGCGCTTGACACAGAAGTATAAATCAGTCTTTACGTGTTGCCTACTAGTTGCAGATGCAATCATGAGGCGGTTTTTGCGCTGAGTTTGAAGTAATTAATCACAGAACTGGAGAAAGTGCATTACTTCATTCATTGTAATAAAGCATATTAATAATGAAATCAAAAATTATAGTATTACATTGAGCGTTAATTTTAAGCTATCTGATGGCCCACCTGTAGGATCGCTAGGGCCCACTAGTGGGCCGCAGCTCACCGGTTGAGAATCCCTGCTTTATCAGATGAAATTAACTGTTTGAAGTTGCACCATCCAGTGGACTCAATTGGAACAGCAGCTTCTTTTATTGAGAAATAGCAGTACATTTTTATACTTTACAGAATCATCTCGCGGGCCCGATTAAACCTGTTTGCTGGATTAAACCATATGTTTGACACCCCTGCCTTAAAGAAATGTTTGTTTGTTTTTTCAATTGTTTACAGAACAAACCACTGTTGTCCAACAACTCGCTTAATTAACCTAGTGAAGCCTTTAAATGTCACTTTAAGCCAAATACTAGTATCTTGCAAAATAACGAGTAAATATAATTTACTGAGACAAAGGATTTATTACAACTATTATGTTTAAACATGCATTGAAAAAAGTGAACAGAACAAGGGAAATACTTTTTTAAAAATTCAAATTTCATAGGAGAGCCAATAATTTTGTCTTCATTTGTATATAAACAAAGAAATATAAAAATAATACAATGAAATGTCACACACACACACACACACATTATTCATAGGGTCAATTTTAGTTTCATGTTTAGATCACGAGGCAGTTACTGTACATTTGTCACAGGCATTCACTGTAGATGTAGAACTATATTCCTGCAAAGCCACTATTGATAAGTGTGTGTTTTGAAGCGAGAATGGGAGTATTTCACAGTATTAAATCAAATCCCAAAAACAAATAAACAAACGTACTGACCTTTCGAGGGGCTCTTGCTTAAAACAGGCAGACTTAACTCCTTGGTGAAGTGAAAACCGGTAGAGCTCTCTTGTGTTGCTAGGCGCCAACCTATGACCTCTGACCCCTTTGGCACCGGTTGTGAATGTGTAATGAGGTTCTGTTGAAATAGAGGCAGCTTCTTTTTACTCTCATTGCTTTTGTGATCGTCTGAGTGCTGAATTATCACAAACACAAGCTCAATAATCAGCAGCTCTGGTCAATCATCTGTTTTTTATTTGAGCATAAACACATGCATAAAAGAATGACCACGTCAATAAATGGAAAGCGCATGCATACATTACAAAAATAACAATTATTAATATTATTCTGTGATTAAAACATTTTATTTTTATACAAATATTTTAGTAAAATCATCTCTTAATATTAATTTCTTTTCTACAGTCACAATGTTACAACATTGGACAACAACATAGTGTGCAATATTAAGCAGGACAAACATCACATGAATCATCTTAGTGTCATAAAAGCATTAACAAGAGTAAAAGCAGTTTTCTTGATGGCTAAAGCACCAGCAGCAGCATCACTAAAGTGTTTTTTGTTTGTTCATATTGAGCAGCTATTCAAGTTAGCAGCAAACCATGCACAGGTTCAGCCCTTAAACAAAGACTCTTAAGTACAATAATATGATTATTTTCATGACTAAATGCACGCTCCTCATTAATAGCAGCATGTGCCTACATTATACTGCCACTAGATGGCGCAGGAGAACACTAAATAGACAAATTCTGTGCTATTTTACTCATCCATGAATATGTATTAACACATACAAATTAGATGACATCATCATCATGCAAATCACGAACATGCAAACGGATTGCATTAAAAGAGCGGGCGTTTAGAGGAGGATTGTTCAGTCTCTGGCGTAGGTGGACAGAGATGATGATGTTTCTGAACTTACAGAATCTCGGCTGGATTTGCCCAAACTGAAGCGCAGACGGAGAGATTTTCTCACAGGCTCTTTCTTAGCGGTTCTGGGAGAGAAACAGCCCGCCTTCCCTGATTCAACTCTGAAATCAGACACAAATCATCATCAGAAATGAGCTTAAGGAGATATTTATGAATGCATGCAGAAGCATATATAGCAAACAATATATAAAAACTAAGGCTGAGCAATATATCATTTGATCATCGATATTGCAATGTGTGCATCTGCAATAGGCAAATCACAGGATTACATTGTTTATTAAAGATTAATGAATAAAGATGTTATTAAAGTATTACTTTTTCATTATTTACACAATAATGATCATGTTATTTTACATTCGATTGTTCAATTCCTGTACTTGAACACTGTTCGACTTCCCAGAAAACCATAAAGCACCGTGTGTTTATTTATTTTTGATTGTAATTTATCATCATGTATGCAGATGCTCTGAAATCTTTACAAATAAAGATTAAATTCATTTGGTGAAACTATATTTATATGGCAATATACATGTCGTGGCAAGACAACATTTTTGCAATCAAATTTAAGGCTTTTCCCCCCCAAGAGGATTGAATGAGGATTTTGATTATTTGTGTCTCTTTAATTCATGGGTCTCAAACGCAATTCCTGGAGGGCCGCAGCTCTGCACAGTTTTGCACCAACCCTAATCCAACACAGCTGATCCAACTAATCAAGGTGTTCAACACTACTACATCAGCTGTGTTTCATTAGGGTTGGAGCAAAACTGTGCAGAGCTGCGGCCCTCCAGGAATTGCGTTTGAGTCCCAAGATTTAATTACTGAACATGAATGAACAACAAGGTTTGCCTGATATATTGTTTAATTGTTGACATTAACGTGCAATTAGTTGATTATTTCATGCAAGTTGTTTAGAGGCAGTTCTTTTCCTAGCTATTCCTTGGCTATTTTTGCTTGATTTATTACCGAGTGCCAAATTTCTGATGTACAGGAGATGTTAGTTGATGAATTCTGTTTACTGTTGATAATGTGTTGGGGTAGTTAAAAAATATATATATTTCATGTGAATATGCAGAGCTAGCCGACAGTTAGCTCTCTGCAACTCTCACATGGTCGCTCACTGAAGCTAAGCAGGGCTGCGCCCGGTCAGTGTCTGGATGGGAGACCACATGGGAAAGCTAGGTTGCTGCCGGAAGTGGTGTTAGTGAGGCCAGCAGGGGGTGCTCAACCTGCGGTCTGTGTGGGTCCTAATGCCCCAGTATAGTGACGGGGACTCTATACTGCTCAGTGAGCGCCATCTTTCAGATGAGACGTTAAACCGAGGTCCTGCCTCTCTGTCGTTTAAAAAACAACCCAGGATGTCCTTAACCCTGGCATCCTGACCAAATCTGTCCACTGTCCTCTCTTCATCTTTCCAACTATCCCCGTATCATAATTGGCTTCATCACTCCCTCTCCTCTCCACCTCAGTCAGCTGGTGTGTGGTGTGCGGTCTGGCGCAAAATAGCTGCAGTCATGTCATCCAGGTGGATGCTGCACACTGGTGGTGGATGAGGAGATTCCCCACATTGTGTAAAGCGCTTTGAGTGCCCAGAAAAGCGCTGTATAAATGTAAGGAATTAATTATTATTATTATATATTTTTTCCTTTAAAAAATAAAAATCAACTGTATATATTTTGGCCTAATTTTGTAATGTTTGTTTAATTTTTAAATGATTTTTATTATATCTCTATTTTAAAATCTTGTCACCTGTTATAGAATTATTTAGAGATAATTAATGGTCATTCTGAGGAAGCCACATGGCTGAAACATCTGTTCTTTATCCTGAATTAATGAGCACAATTCAGCTTTGTTCTTGACCACTAAAGTAGCTGTACATTACAGTTAGTTAACCAGTGATCATCAAATCTGCAGTAGCGATTATCATTAGCTCGTGCCGTACCTGCTGACACTACGGTCTCTCAGCCGTCTGCTCTTTCTCCTGGCAGAACTGCTGGACAGACGAGAGTTTCTGCCCACTGAAGACAGCAAACCACTGTGAGACGAGTCCAGAACCCCTGCTGCGCTGTGAGCTGAAAACACAACCACTGATCAACACACAAGACAAGGCTCTTACACTTTTTACAGTCAAATTTAAGCACTTCCGTTGCAAAGTTTGGCAAATTACATATTTATATATATTACAAAATTATAAGCCCTCCTGTTCAAATTTAATTATACTTCACATTATATCAGATGCTATTTGTTATAGTATAGTATAGTATAGTATAGTATAGTATACAGGGTTCAACACTAAGGATTTTTTCTACTGGCCCAATCAAACCAGAGGTTCAGATTTTTACTTGCCCTGCCAATATTTTCACTGGCACCACAAAAAAAAGTTAATAGCTATTTCTTAGCCGCAAATAAAAAAATGTGTCAAAATGTTTGTAAATATAGTATTTAAATATAAAAAAAAAATTATAAATGTGTAATGTGCAAAATTCTAAGTGTTTTGAAACAAAAGATGGCTAAAGACCTGCCAAACTGACAGCAAACTACAAAAGATCACTTATTTTTTTTAAGTCGTGGTGTACCCTCGTATGTCTGCTTCCAAGACGTTAGAAACAAATGTTTTCCTTTAGTATCATCATTTGATGTTACCGCCATGTTGCTGTCTCTTCGCTGTACTAATAACGTGCTCATAACATCCAATCGGATAAGAAGAACCGAGAAGGTAGCATTTGAAGGCTTGAAAATACGAACTGTTTCTTAATTCCAAAACTGTATTTGCTCGCAATTTACAAATAGTCACAGGCAAATTAAACGTTAGTAACAAGTGAGCAGTGGCCCGATCGGGCCAGTAACGATCCTGTCTACTGTCCCGAGCATCTCACACCCTGGCCCCGGGCCATCGGGCAGTCCTTATTGCTGAGCCCTGGTATAGTATAGTGTAGTGTAGTATAGTATAGAGGGTTTTTCCTGCATAGAGAATTATGAAGTGGCCCAATTTTGGACCACCTCCATCTTTTGACAAAAATCAGGCAGGCAGGCAGACAGACAGTAGTAGCAAAATAATCATGATGGCTACACCACCACCACCACCTTATTTAAGTCATAAAATTCTTGAGATTTTTTTTTTTACATTTTGATTGTGTGTTTGCCCCAAGCCTGACATTGCATTACTGTCATTTATTCTCTTTTATGTCATTTACTTGCATCCTAAATTAGATTTTTTTTTCCAAAGGAATGCTACTACAGGCACATGCACAGACTACAGAATTGTACATTTTATGCAAAAGCTTAAGTTAAGCCTGTAAATGTCACTTTAATCAGAGTACTAGTATCTTAAAAAATATCTAGTCAAATATTATGCACAGTCATTATAGCAAAGATTAAAAAAATAAATAAAAATAAAATAAATTTGAATAGTTAGTAATTATTACCCATTTAGTAAGATAAATGATTATGAAAGCAAAAAAACAGTCATTTTAGCCCAATATCTAAGCACTTTACAAACTTTGCATTTTTAAGGAATTCCAGCACATAATGTAGCAGAAAACTTACTTGATCCTGGAGTAGATGTTCCTCCAAACAACACGCTGGGGAAGAGCTCCAGGCCGAGGTTCTTCTTGATGGACCTGCGTTTCTTGTTGGAGAAGCCGTGAGTCTGAGACGACTCCAGAGGAAGTTTACGCTTGGAGTTTGGAGTCATGATGACCGGAGTGGCCATGGAGAAAACTGACGGAGACAAATAGAGACTGAATTGACTCTGAAGTACTGGAGTTATTGGAGGACTTGTACTTTATGATCCCACAAGTGCCTATTCAATGCAAGGAAATGTGCTGAAATTAAACAGAGCAGCAATTGTAAAGCAAAAGATCAGAGCAACAAATGCCTGAAAATGAAGAAGAAATCATTTTTGATCAGTGGTTTCCAACCTTTGCTAACTCACACTTATGTTTTACGAGGCACACTGCAATGTTTATATGAATCAGCTAGTTGTGGTGGGTTGGTAATGTATTAGGCTACTCTCAGACGCAGGACTGTTAAATAAATTGTTCTGCGATTTACTGTAGGGTTGGGCGTTGTCAACCAATTTGGCATTGTACGATGTCTAATGTGAAACATTGTGATCCAGCAGTACATCCTTGATAAACTGTCCGACAGGCACTGCTCTCTGAGACCAGTCACCTGCTGACTGCCTGGAGCTCAGACGTCCGCATATGCTGCAGTGTGTGCCTGTGTTTTAGGTCACGTGATGTTTTCAGAGGTAGAGAGGTTTTTTTTTTTTCAGAAATGCCAGTGGACGTGGATTGTTTTTGTTCTAAAATGCCATTTTAAAACTAAGACGTATTAGTGTAAACAAAATTAGTGTGTGTATTTTTCATGAGCAGGTTTGCTGCTGCGACGGGGGCGGCGCGGAGGATCACAATGCCTGCTAAGCATCGTGATGTCTATCGGCCATCGTGATGGATGATGGCATCATTTATCGACCCAACCCTAATATACTGTTAAAAAATAATTTTGATAAGTGTCATTATTGTCATTTTAAGGCCGATTTATGTCTGTTTATATAATGATTATACAACAGCATATTATAGGCATAAAAACATTCAAGTTTAAGTGTGCTTGTAAAATGGCTTTAACGTGATTCCTGAACCCTTACTTTTCTGAAAGAGTATTGCAGATTCGAAACGGCTCATTCAGACACATTCTTAGAAACCTGTCAGTAGTTTTCAGGAAAGGGGGAGCAAAACATCTTTATTCACCTGTTAATAAGCATTGTTTGTAAAAGAGTTGAACCCTGAACTCATCATGGAATATTAGCTCAAATGTTTTAGACATTCATTTCTATGTAAACATAATGGACAATCTATATCACGTCACCAAAAATGATTGAAGTCATGTCCATGTATTTCACATCGCTTTACAAACTATCCCTTTAAAGGGTCACGAAACACCAGAACACATGTGTTGAGCTGTTGACAGTGGTATATGTGTCCCACACTGCTATAAACACTATTAGGACACCTATATTTCACTAAAAAGTGTAAATTGGTTGTTTTTGCGTTATTTCAAGCAAATTCGTACTTCCTGTTTGAAACAAATTTTTGAAGCTGCGTCACGGTCATAAGATAATAGTGTGTATTCCAGCGTGCAGACTGGACGTCTGTGCCAGAGTGTGTCTTATTACATCTTACAGTGTGATGCATTAATGCATGAGTAAGGCTTGGTTCAAACCAATCAGCGCGCTCTATTGTGCAACTTCATTAATATTCATTACTGTCAGAGTGTTTAGACGGCAGAGACGCCACATTGTGTTGGCAAAACAAGCGTGAAGTGTTGCTTTTATAGTTTGCTGCAGTGAAGTTTTGTTTTCATTTTCTCTCTGTGAGAGCTCAGCTGGAGTCACGTGTGGATTAACAGTGTACACGACGCTCGACAACAATAACTGTCTAAGGAGGATTATTGTTTACCTGAGAGCTGTTCTCATCTGCAAACGCTGAGATCCGGATTCGCTTGTAGTCTTCTCTTCATAAAGACGCGGCTCTAGTTTCTGGTGATTGTCCTGTCTCTACAGATTTGGTAAGTGAGCGACCAGTGCTCTTTGTTTATTCAGTTTGTTCGTATCGAACTAAGTTAACTATTGCACAGAGTGTGAACATGTTAGCACCACAACCAAACTTTAACCTCGTGTAGGGTTTTCACCGCATTTAGTGACCGGAATAACACACGCGGCTTTCTGACGCTACCTGCCGTGTGCATCTAAGTTTCCGGGAAATGCGGAGGTTTTTTTTCTCTCATTCGTCGTGCGGTATCAAACATTGCATGAAAATACACGCTTAGAGCAGATCCTCGAATCAAATATCTCGTTTGTGGCGAGGGGCATAAATGAATTCCCTGAATGAAAGAGCCAAACTGCAGTTAAAGTCCACCATTTATTCATTTGGCAAATAATTCGACTACAGATGTCCATGTAGGTTAAACACCATCACTTTCTACTGTGTGTGTATTTTGACTCTGAAACTCGCGCGTGCCCAAATAGACACTCCCACACCCTCCCACTTTAGTTCCTCCGACACTCCCCCCTAAACAGAGCTGGACACGCCCACTTTTCTGACTTTTTCCAAAGTAGAGGTGTGAAAACACCCTGCTGAAACGAGGGGGTTTCATGGCCCTTTTAATAACAGCTGGCAGAACCCTGCAATACCATCACTTTCCACTGGGAGGCCGCATACCACAGGTTGAAAACCACTGATTTAGACGAACAATAGAGGAAACGTGCTAATATAAGCTCTGAAAGACAAACATTGTGCCGCATATCATCAATGCAGAGTCCAAATGAAAAGCAAGCAGAGACCCATCACATGATGGACAAAAGCAGACAAGCCATCTTGAACTATTTACAGACAGCATTTGCTCATTACATTGAAGAGGTGAGGAGAAGAAACTCTGAATGTGAATGCGGTGCAGCTGATCTACATGCAGTGACGTCTGATGAACATGTACCCACCTGCTCCATCAGAGTGAGGGGTATTTGTTGGGGTTCTACTAGCTTTTAACCTATTCAGAGCTCCATTTACCACGTCTGGAATACAAAACACACCAACTCAACTATAATGGGTCTAATTATAGGCCTATAAATCACGGTTTACCATGTGATGAAGCTAGAATTAAATAACCAGTTCTAGGGCTGCACAATATATGCTTTCAGCATCGATATCTCAGTGTGCGCGAGCAATGCAATGCAATAGGATCTCCAATGTTGAATTGGATAGTTGATCAGCAAACAGTTGAGAATACATGAGACTTGTGGAGACTTTGCCAAGAATAACCATAACAGAGTGAAACTTCATTATTTGCATGTGTCTTATGGCCCGTTTCCACTGAGTGGTATGGTACGGTTCGGTTTGGTACGCTTTTATGGCCATTTCCACTGTCAAAAAGTGTATTGTCAAAAGGTGGAGCTACACGCGCAGCCGAATGCTGATGGGTTACAGAGATACTTCACGAGCTCGTGGAGCTACACAGAATGTAAACAAAGGATCCGCCATGTTCTAATACGCAGCCGAGAGATTACATGGATATAACGTTACTATATGCACAGTGGCGCAAACAGGGGGTATGCAGTATATGCGGCGCATAGGGGCGTCACACATTATTTCACCATTATTTTGCATTTTATACAAATATAACATTGTTATTGTTTAATTCAAAATCATTTAACACAATAACATGCAGTCACACAGCCTGAAGTGTTCATGTAGATGTAACTGTTCAGATTTGTTTTTATTTTTATCAAAATAAACTGTCAAATCATACATAATGTCAAAAGTTATAAGGTTAATCTGAAAATTTGTCTTCATTTATTATTAATTAATTAATTAAATTATTAGTTTGCCAAAATAAGAGGGATCACACAAAATTTGAACCTGCATACCCCTCAGTAAATGTGTAGTTGCGCCCCTGTATATGCATAAAATAACCAGCCATGGATGACCCGGGCTCAAACAAACCGTGTCGTCATCTTGATGAACAGACACAATGCAAAGAAGAACAAAATCTGCCGTGTCCTGTTGTTGCTTTACTAGCCCGTCTAAAAGTGCGAGCTGTATTCGCTTTCTTCCGGGAGTGCGCGATCGCGTCTATATTTGATATAACAAACTTCTTGAGCTGATGATAATTCCGTATAACGTTACGTGATTGTAGAAGTGTCCCCATCATCTGATCCATTCAGAAAGAAAAGGACAAGCGCGAGAGTAAAGCGCAGAAAAAAAAGGAGAAACCCGGCAAAACACAGGAGTAAAAGTGTTTAACAACCTGAATCATGAACAAACTGCCATGTTTATCTTTGCCTTTTGGACTATTATGAACTGGGAATGACAAAATGACTCTCTAACAGAGTTTGCATGTGCTGCTGAAGATTACACACACAGATGAGAGGTTTGCGCTGACTGTGGGCTATATTGCGTGTGTTTTTGAACTCAAATAAGTACTAAATGTATGATGCGTGTAGTTTTACAGAAATTAATAATATATCGGAGACTGTAAGGGGCTGTGTGTGTTCATATACGTTGCATTTATGTATTTATTTAATATAATTACAGACGTTACAATAGCCTATTTCACACCGTCATTGATCTGCAGTTATAATCAACTCCTGTTCATAGAAAAGTTAGTAATAAACATTTATAAACAAGTATTTATGTGTATAAAGCATCTGTTCTGTGAGAAGTGCTGCTCATTATGATGTAAACGACCCGTACAGCTTTACTGTAGACATTTATTCGAGTGAGCATGACGTCGACTTAAACTTTGTCTTACACCACGCCCACCAAAAAGGTACCCATTGTGGTGGAAACGCAAGCCTGATAAAGGTGACCCGTACCGACCCGAACCGTACTGAACCAGTCAGTGGCAACAAGCCATTAAAGGCATTTCAAGAGAGTTCAAAGCATTCAGGCACAAAAACGTACATTTGTAACTTCATTGATGACGTTAAATTACATTTAATGATGTAACGTTTTACTGATTAATACAATGAGGACCACAAGATGGTGTTATTTTACATTTCATTATTTATTTTCAATACCTGAATACTGTTTGACTCTCCGGAAAACCATAAAGCACTGTTTATTTAAGTTTTTTGTTGCACTATTGAAATTATTATTTGCTTGTAATTTGTTTATTACTTGTATACATGATTCACAGCCTTGCAAAATCAGCCTAACCAATCTAAAGTAATGATTTCTTTCCAAATAGAGCTATTTCAGCCATTTGGTGAAAGTGTATTCATATCACTGAGAAACAAAACATCACAATCTCAGATTTCTCCAATATTGTGCAGCCCTAACCGATTCCATCTGATATGCTTTTAAAGGTGGTTCTTACCTCCTAAACTGCGTCTGTTGCTTTTCTTCAGGTCGAAGTGAGCATTGCTGTCCTCTGGAGACACGGCGGATGGAGAAAACACAGCAGCATCACAACCCAACATGGCTGGAACCTTCTCCATCAGGAACTGAGGAACCACACCTGTTAAAAAAATCAATTGGGTGAGCTATCATATAGATTAGTACATTAAAACGTACAAAACACATTAATCATATGGCAAAGCATCAGTTCGGTTTCATATTTAAATAAGAACAATTTTCAATTACACAAATCTAAAATAACAGCATATTAAAAGCCAGGGAGGTCCTGATTTGAATGGGTATCTTGACCACTGTACTGATTAATCAGGAGATATATTCTCTAACACTTGAGTATGACATAAGAAACCAAATTCGCCTTGATCTTTTGACATTATAAGAGGTTTTAGTACTAAAAAAACATCCTGCGGTTTCAAAGCTTAAGACGTCCTCCTGATTAGAAATGACAATAAATGTTCCCCGCTGTATTGCGAACGATCACATTTACCCCTTCCCTAATGAAAGGCAGTGTTACCTATACGTTGAGCGTTCTCTATCAGACACTGTACAGCCGCTGCCTGATGCTTGAGTCTCTTCTCTGTGCTGCTGCTCATCTTTTCTCCTCCGTCGCCACAATGAAAGAGATTCGGTGCAAAAATAACTGCGAGATTGCTGCTGTCCATCTTATTCTCAGCACATCTGGAATAAATACACAACACACACACACACACACACACACACACACAGAGTAAGCAATACACACTCATAGCGCTGGGCGATATGACAAATCTCGCATTATATAATCAAATTATATCCTGATAATGATGTATATCAGTGTTTCCCAACCACGTTCCTGGAGGACCACCAGCACTGCATGTTTTGGATGTCTCCTTTGTCACACCAATTACAGGGCTTTCACTCTGATTCTGAATTCATTTGCTAATGAGCTGAGGATCTAAATTAGGTGTGTTTGGTTAAGGAGATATGGAAAATGTGCAGAGCTGGTAGTCCTACAGAAATGTGGTTGAGACACACTGATGTATATCAAAATATAGAACCATTTCTGTAAATTAATAGTTTATATTGTCCACATGTAAATGAGTATTCCTGTTTTGCATTTTAAAGTATATAGTCATATATAAACTCATTCACATGTGATCATATTTCTCAGTTTAATCAGAACTTCAGTGCGTATACTTGACTAAAAATGTAGAAATGTGCAACAAATATCAATAAATTATCAAACACTTACCACAAACTAAACATTGCAGGTCAAATATAAAAATATCCCTAAATAAAATGCATCATGTAAACATTGTGTTTTTAAGATTGGAACTTTTTCACAATGCTTTTATTCATGTTTTATGTCTGAATGCCCAAAACTGCATGTAATATTGTGCTTATAGAAATTATAAAAAAGTATCATCATAAACAATGTGTTCTGTGGCACCACAATATAAACAATGGAGCATAATATGAACCAGCAGACTTTTAATTTTGCCCATATTGTCATATTGCACAGCCCTACACACTCACTTTACATAAGTTTAACACAAAAGAGCCTGTGCTACTGAGAGGGAAGCTGTAGATTAGCATAACAAGAGATTTGAGACAAACAGAGACATCTGTCCTCGTACCGCTGAGAGACGGTCTTCAGGAAGCTGAAGAAGTAGCGCAGTGTGTTTAAGTTTGTGTCGGGCAGTACGCAGGACAGCAGGACTGTAGCTGAGGTCCTCTCCTCTGCTGTGGGAAGCTCCTGGGCCTTCAGGAAAGCACTGTGCAGATCTACAGTCAAAACCGGCTCCGGAAGCTCCCTGAAAAACTGCTTCAGGAGTCCAGCAATGTCCAGCGGGAGAGCAGCGGACAGACAGTCCTCACCCTGGTCCAGTTTTGCCTACAGAGGCAAAACAGAATCACATTTATAAGGAGTTTATAAACAGTTGGTGAATATGTCAGCAGTGTGTGAATATATGCCGGCTCTGATGGTTAACATGAATGAATTGTATTTGTTATAATCAGGCTTGATAAATGAAACACTTTGTTTGACATTCTCTCTTTGTGTTATCAGAGGGGGAAAGCCCCGCCCACTAGTGCCCATCTCTCCATCTTATTAGCATAAACAGCAGGCCTGAGTGAGAAGCAGCCATCTGTCCATTAGCCATTAGAGTGTTTGAGCTGCTGAAGATGATGTCAGCGTAGGCTAAGAGGATTATAGATGTGGAGTTTTAGATGAACAGCGACAGAAGCATGAAGCACACACTGACAACACTAGTTCTGTTTTTAATGTCACTATGCTGACACATAAGAATTTGTAGATTTGTAGCTCCACCCTCTTCTGAAAAAGAGCACAATCTCATTTGCATTTAAAGCGACAGTCACTAAAACAGCACAATTAAGATCAAAGCCTGAAAGGGTCAGTTTCAGAGAGCTGGAGAATATTATCTGTGTGCTGTTTTGAGCTGAAACTTTGCACACACACACACACACACACACACACACACACACACACTCTAGAGACAGCAGAGATGCATTTTACATCTTGTAAAAAGGAGCATAATAGGTCCCCTTTAAATGATGACATCAGTCAGCATCTGTGTCATGTATTGAAACAGGGGTCACTCACCCGGAGGCTTTTGACCCGCACCACAGAGCCAGACTTTCTGAACAGACCCTCTGTGTCCAGATGATCCAGGAGAGTTGTACAAATATCCACTAAAAAGCTGGGGAAAGAATGGACACAAGTGATTATCAGACAATAAAATAAGTGTAATGCATGATAGGGCTGCATCATTTCATCAATTCTGCAATGGTCACGTAGCAGGATCTGCAATGTCCGTTCAGTTTTAGGTTATTCCTCCTTAAGAGATTTGAGTGGGGTGATAGTTGATCAAGAGCCACATTGTAGAGTCGCTTGGAAGTTTAACCTTAAGAAATTGCTTGTTTGCTTAGTTTTTAAGGTCTAGACTGTCCAGAAAATTTGTATTTATGCAGATTAACTGTCATAGGAAATTATCCAAATCAATACAAAATTATGACTTCTTTCTGAATTGAGCTGTTCAATTCATCTGGTGAAATTAGATTCATATCTCAATATAAATCACAGGAAAACAAAACATTGCAATATCGTTCAACCCTATCAAGAACGCAAATACATTTGCAAAAATCTCTTCTTTTTCAAGTTAATTGAATTGAGAAAAATGTTGGGCAACAAGCAGATCCCAAAGAGGGAACACATAATTATAAAACAATCAAATAAATGCAATATACAAAAATAAAAATGAAGATATTAAGAATGTAAATCTATTGGTAAAAACATTACATAATAATGCAAAATTATTTAAACTGAGAGAAGCATTGGGGTTGTGGGTAGGCCTGTTACAAAAATCAATATATAGACTCATCGCACATCATTTTTGGTGATGCAATGTATATCGCCCATACATAACAAAACTATTCAAGCAACATTTCAGCTGTTTGATCTCCAACTCTGCTAAAGGTTTCAGTGTCAGTATAGTTAAAAGAGCACAATAGTATTTACTATCATTTACTATAGGATATTTTCATATGACAACTGAAAATAAATCTGGTAGCAGATATCACTGCCTCTGTTGCTCTTTATCTAGCACTTTTTAGTTAACATTTATTCAGGGACAGGGTTCATACACATTTTTACCACAAAAATTAAGACTTTTTCAGGATTTTCAAGTCAATTTTTATGACCTAATGCTTCATGTAACATCTGCGTATACATGGTAAATAATAAAAACAATGAACGCTTAAATTTAGTACAGTACATCATAAAACACACAATAAAATCTTTTTAGTTTCAATTTGTTTTTATATCTATGTAAAATAGATGATGCTTACACAGGACTAATAATGTGGAGCATGTTTTGGCCAAATAAAGAATTGAAAACATCTAACTTTCATTCCAGTATACAGATATTTGGCAAACTAATTTTAAATAATGTTAATAGTTTATTAAAATAGTAGTAGTAGTAGGTAAAACTACTTCTGCTGTAAAGCTGCGATAACACTGCACTTTTTGCTCCACAGACTTCTATTCATAGGCATGCGAAAGCGGCAGACCAGAAACGCAAGCGCATGCGTCAAGTTTTACATTTCACTGCATTCGAACGTTCAAGCTGAGTGAATTCTAACCTGTAAAATGACATCAGGTAGACCAATAGAAGATAACTTGAAATAAGAAATTTAAAATCGACATTAATAAAAGTGAGCGATTGCTCTAATCATAATGTTTAACTCCGCCCCTTTTCGCAGCACCGTACGATAGAATTTCGCAAGCACAAGCTCTAGTGTGAGCGCAGCTTAAGTCTCTTTGGACAAAAAAGGTCTGCTAAATGACTAATGTAAATGTAATTTCCATGACAATATTGTAGGTTTTTCTGATTTTCCAAAACTTTTCCAGGCCTGGAAAATGCCATGTCAAAATTCCATAACTTTTCCAGGTTTTTTCCAGGTATGAACCCTGTTTATTATTATTTATTTAGGATCTGCATTTTCACATTCTGATTGGAACGCTTGATTATTAAACGGTTAAAATGACTACAAGTTAATATTCTTAAGATTAAAATATGATGTGTTTTTGGGAAGAGCGTCCTTGCATTGTGAAGATATTATATTATCATTCTGGCATTACATAATGAGTGGCATAAAATGGTCTTAAAATGACGATAATAATATTATTTATCACAATATATTTTGATGCAATATATCATACAAAAAATAGATAACGTGACAGGACTTGTTGTGGGCTAAATACATTTATCAGACACTTTTACAGAAGCAACTTAAATGAAGGTAAAAGTTATTTAGTATTCAATAGAAGCTAAAAATTATGAGTATTAAATAAGGAGCATGTTCAAGACATTTTGTGAATTTTCTTCTTAAATAGGCCTGTAGCACAACCTAATTTGAGCAATTATATGCTTTGCTAAGTACTTTTTCAAATTTAAAGGTGATGTTATCAATATTTTGTTTTGTTTTTTAACCCTCAGATTCCTGATTTTCCACATTTTCTCCATTCTACCCAGTATATCAAAGGAAAATTCATTCATTCATTCAAATTGACAGGTTTTGTGGTCCAGGTCACATATGTATTCAAAGCATCAGGCAACATGTTTATATAATGCGTTTCATATAAACATGTAACATGTCATAAATATTCTGAGAGCCTAATATTCCATTTAAAGAGTGTGATTTTCTTTGAACATATGTTTAAGCAAAACTGCCTAAAATTATTGTTTGCTTGGTTTTTTTAACTGTATTTAATGTATTAGTTGGCTTGTGGCTACATTAAACAATATGACCTTAATATTCAACCATACAAGAATCAAACAGCACCGTTGTTTCTGGCATTTAAAAGAACAGTTCACCCAAAAAATGTCAATTCTGTCATCGTTTACTCATAAGTTTCAAAGCTGTTTGAGTTCCTTTTGTGTTTGTCAGAAGGTGGGAAGATATATTGAACAATACAGAAAAACAGTCATTGACTTCCGTGGTATGTGTTCAACAGAAGAAAATGCCATATAAGGTTAGAACCACTTGAAAGCGTGTAAATGGTGAAGAAATTTTCATTTTCACTTTGAAGCCATTCACACCTCCTGTAGGGTGTACAGATTGTTTTGCATTGAGACGGTGTAAATGGTGCCGTTATTTAAGCACATCAGCGCTTTTGTTTCCAAATTACACTGAGATAAGGTTGGTTTTATATTTGCACATAAGATCAGTGACCACTTGTGACATGCTCCCTATTATTTTTTATCATGCTAGTTTGAACAGTGGATCTGAAATTTTATGTAAGAGTGACTTAAAAAACATTTACTGTGAACAATGTTGTACTTTGACAGCCATTGTCTGATAATACGATTCGCAAAGAATACTTTTATGAAATTACATTTTTAAAGTGAAATATAATTCCCCAATACTGAAAATGAGATCATGTCATGATATAAAATAGTGTAATTTATAGCTATTCTAGGTCATAAAACAGTCAGTGGAAGAAAAGAGAAAAGTATTAGCAAGAGCTGCAAGCTTTGTCAAAATTAATCCAAAATATCTGGACACTTTTACAGAAGTAAGGAAAAAATGTTTTGATTTGCATGATGTTTTAAAAAATCATTAAAAAAAATCTAATGAATCTGCACATGAATTAAAAAGGAATCTTAAATTAGATAGATTTTATGGTGAAATTGATTATTTAGGGAAAGTATTTATTTTAATTTTATACAGAATAACCTTAATATCACAGCACAATTTAAGGCACAAATATAGCAAATTGGTGAATAGATCCAATTTCCAAATTGAAAACACCACACATAAATACCTTATTAAGAATCTGCAAAGAATGTTTTTTCCCCAAATCATGTTAAGGAGAAAGTCTAAATGTGTGAATGTAAACCCAACTTTACCCTAATCAAAGTTAACCGGGTCATTCTTTATTATGCACATACACACAAAAATCCATCTCTTTGTTATGCATGTACACAAATGTGTGGCTCTTACCAGGGTAAATCTCCATAGTCTAGCACATGGCTGTGTGGCAGACCTTCCAGCGCAACTCCAAACACCCTGACCTGGAGGACAAGAAAGATCTGTTCAGGTAATGATAGATCGGCATGCAGGAACAACTGAAGCTCTGTGTGTGTTTGAAAATCAACAGCACTAACTCTGGCGTAGCCTTCACATTCACTTAATCTTATTTCACACCACTGCACTGAGCCAGATATAAACACAGGACACAAATTCACCTCACAAGACCAGAATTCAGTGGATTCAGTCACTATAATCACATTTAAGGCTTACTTTTCTTTTAATCCCAACAGCCAGACTTGTCATAGACTATGTGCTTCGATTTATAATGAAACACTAAAAGTACTTCTATTACCTTTTTAAACTCTGAAATACATTTTTGTGTGTTTAAAATGTGCTAAATCATCTCTGAACCAAGAGAAAGAGGAAGTTAACTAACTATTTAGTGACAGGAGAAAAAATGCCAAGAATTCTAACAGAAAAAACTACGTTATACATTTAGTAGTTTCATGTTTAGGTTCTCCAAACAAATGAAACCAATCTAGCTGAAAGTAAACATGCAACTAATTAATAATTAATCTACTGAATAAGGAACAGTAACAAAGAAACATCCAAATGTTTGATATTACAGTACATTAATAATACAAATATCTGAAGTTGATTACGAAATTGAAACAATACTTCCACAAACACGTCAAATAAATGTAAAATAAATAAACCACTGTTGAATATTGGGCGATTATAAACACACACAGGCCTTAGTTGTTCACAAATAGGAAGATCACCAACTTTGACACGCAGATCTACAAAAGCAGCATATATAATAATAGAAATCAAGGCTTTGTGCTGGTTTATGAACTCACCGTGTTCGCGGATGTCTGTTTGCTTCTGTTTTTATTCCAGTTCTTTATCCGGATTCCATAAACCGACCGAAGATGCTGAACGACGGCCAGACGAACCACATTTCTCTCCAAAACCCTCATTATGACGTATAATATCTATTGAAAGCCTCGCAATATGCAGAAATACGCTATTTATATTTTAAAAGGATGTAAATATACGTTAATTTACGTTACGATTGACGTTATTCGACTTTTCTACAGTTCCGCCTGAGGCATTTCGATAAAAATCAACCGATCAGAGACACCAAACTCCGCTTATATCTAATTCTCCCACTTTACTCCGCTTAAACCTCATTTTATTTAGTAAAACAATGAGTAAATGTCTCCTTATGAGTCCAGTGTTTGCGTCTGTCCGACCGCTTTATTTCCTGTCTTCAAACAACGGCAGTTCGGACAATGTTCAAATTTCGCCCTGCATACGTCACTCAAGCGTTTCACGCACTCTGATTGGATGGGGATTGTCACGTGCTCAGACAGACCCGCCCCCTGGACAGTGTGCGATGCATGATTGATGGTGTAACAGATGCGAAACCTCTGAATGTTTGTCACAGCATTATATCGCACACACACACACACACACACACATTCGCACGCCTGGACTAGTGCTAAATAACTGTCCACATGAGTACCATATTTCTCCAGTGATTGTGGGATTTATAGAAAGGCATTTTTCCACAGTGCAGTTGTGAAACCCTCATTGTCACCACTTTATTTCTTCATTTGCAGCACTGATTTAATGCATTTTGGCTAAGGGTGCTGCAGGAAATGTACATTTGTTATGCAAGATGTCCTTTATAATGCATGCACGTGTTTTATTTGGATGCTTTTACCATCTGAACATCATTTCTGTTGTATTTGCTTTAAAATGAAAGTTGCATGCACATATTTTATTTCAAAGACTATCATATCTTTTTATTTGTGTATTTGTTTAAGGAAATTTGAATTCTTAAGTTAGAGCATTTCGGTTCTTATTTATGCATATTTCATTTAGAATACTCTTTTAGTTTGGGGATTTATTCTGATTATAATTATTTTTCTGTACTCTTTAGTAGTAGTATATATATTTTTAATGAATTGTGTTTAGTTATGAACACTGCTTAGTTTTTATTCACTTTATTTGTGTTGGTCAGTATTATCAAAGTATAAAGATGTTGAAGTGCTGTAATGAAACTACTACTGTACATGACACAATGCTGCCATCTAGAGGAAAACACAAACCCAAATCAGTCCTTCAACTCGTGTTGTTTAGCTAAAAACATATATTCGTTTAAATATTGGGCCCATTTTTAACCACTGGATTCCCAGAGATGGGTTGCAGCTGGAAGGGCATCTGCTGTGTAAAAATGTGCTGGATAAGTTGGCGGTTCATTCCGCTGTGGTGACCCCAGATTAATAAAGGGACTAAGCCGACAAAAAAATGAATGAATATTAACCACTGTAACTCTTAATTTACACGAGAATATGACAAATGTTATGATCAAATCTGAGACAATATATGTTGGTGAGAAGTGGTCGTTTGTTGTATTTTATTTATTTATTTATTTATTTATCTATCTATTTTTTTATTCTTATGCTTATTGTTACAAAAATGAATATCCTGGTGATACTTTTCCATCATAATGTTTATGTTATATTGCCAATAAGCAGAGTTATATTTAATGCATTTTATTAATTTTATTTATTTATATATCTATTTATTTATTTGTTGCTAACTGTTAAAAAAGGAATATCCTGCTGCTACGTTTGCTTCATAATGCAATGTACATTCCCAATAAACATACTTATAAACATAATAAAAAACTCAATTGAATGCATTTTCAATTTTATTTATTATTATAGACCATATTGTACCCTTATAAGTAAATATTAGCACATAAAGGGTCTGTATAAATATTTAAAGTGTCCATATTTGTACTTAAGAGTAAATATTAGGGTCAATACTGTAGTTTAAAATAATTATTATTACATTAGGGGCCTTATTGATACCTTAAAAATACATTTGAATACCTCATGGGTTCATTTAAGTAAATATTAGTACACAAAGGGTCCATACTACAGCTTATAATTAAATATTAGTATCTAAATAGTCAATATTGGTATACCTTAAAAGCAAATATTAGCACTTAAAGGGTCTGTAAAAGTAAATGTTAGTATTTAAAGTGTACATATTGTCAATTAAGAGTGAATATTAGGGTCAATACTGTAGTTTAAAAAGAATTATTAATACATTAGGGGCCATGTTGATACCTTAAAAATACATTTTAATAGCTAATGGGTTTGTTTTAGTTAATATTAGTAGACAAAGGGGCCATATTTTAGCTTATAATTAAATATTAGCACCCAAATAGTCTATATTGGTACCTTAGAAGCAAATATTAGCACTTAAAGGGTCTGTAAAAGTAAATATTAGTATTTAAAGTGTCCATATTGGTACTTAAGAGTAAATATTAGGGTCAATACTGTAGTTTAAAATAGTTATTATTACATTAGGGGCCTTATTGATACCTTAAAAATACATTTGAATACCTAATGGGTTCATTTAAGTAAATATTAGTACACAAAGGGTCCATACTACAGCTTATAATTAAATATTAGTATCTAAATAGTCTATATTGGTATACCTTAGAAGCAAATATTAGCACTTAAAGGGTCTGTAAAAGCAAATATTAGTATTTAAAGTGTCTATATTGCTATTTAAGAGTAAATATTAGGGTCAATACTGTAGTTTAAAATAGTTATTATTACATTAGGGGCCTTATTGATACCTTAAAAATACATTTGAATACCTAATGGGTTCATTTAAGTAAATATTAGTACACAAAGGGTCCATACTACAGCTTATAATTAAATATTAGTACCTAAGTAGTCTATATTGGTATACCTTAGAAGCAAATATTAGCACTTAAAGGGTCTGTAAAAGTAAATATTAGTATTTAAAGTGTCTATATTGTTACTTAAGAGTAAATATTAGGGTCAATACTGTAGTTTAAAATAGTTATAAATACATTAGGGGCCTTATTGATACCTTAAAAATACATTTTAATACCTAATGGGTTCGTTTTAGTAATTATTTGTACACCGAGGGTCCGTGTTTCAGCTTATAATTAAATATTAGTACCTAAGTAGTCTATATTGGTACCTTAAAAGTAAATATTATATTAAAGGGTCCATATAAGTAAATATTAATCTGTTCCTAAAACTAAATATTAATATCTAAAGGGACCATTTATTGCTATTTGTTAAAAAAGATAATCCTGATGGTACTTTTGCATCATAACATTGTGTATAATCCTGTTAAATATATATATATATATATTAATGCATTCTTTTTTTAATGGATGCATGCATGCAAGAGAAGACCCAAAACACTGCGATCTCTTATCACTTATCTGTTTTTATTACAACATGACATGTATATACAGTAAAAGAGACAGTACAAATGTACGGCTGAGAGACTGAGAGATTGCTGTTGGTTTAGAAGCACTTCCTGTGGACGATGGATGGACCTGCCTCGTCGTACTCCTGCTTGGTGATCCACATCTGCTGGAAGGTGGACAGAGAAGCCAGGATGGAGCCACCGATCCAGACGGAGTACTTACGCTCAGGGGGAGCAATGATCTACAGAGGGAGAGGCGGAGGAACATCGTGAGTGTCTCAGTGAGTGAGAATAAGCTGAAAGCTTGGTAAAAGTGCTCTGTGATCGTGCTCACCTTGATCTTCATGGTGCTGGGGGCCAGAGCGGTGATCTCCTTCTGCATACGGTCAGCAATACCAGGGTACATGGTGGTACCGCCGGAGAGGACGTTGTTGGCGTACAGATCCTTACGGATGTCAATGTCGCACTTCATGATGCTGTTGTAGGCGGTCTCATGGATGCCAGCAGACTCCATACCTGTGCAGGTGAGACACAAGATGATGCTCAGACTCATATGAGCTTTAATAACCAGCCTATTAGACCTGAGAGAGAGACGCACCAATGAAGGAAGGCTGGAACAGGGTCTCGGGGCAGCGGAAACGCTCATTGCCGATGGTGATGACCTGACCGTCGGGCAACTCGTAGCTCTTCTCCAGGGAGGAGGAGGAGGCGGCGGTGGCCATCTCGTTCTCGAAGTCCAGAGCCACATAGCAAAGCTTCTCCTTGATGTCGCGCACAATCTCACGCTCAGCTGTGGAGGGCAGATTCAGCACAATTAGGCTCAACACCCAACACATTAACACAAACAAGGATATCTCCGTTTTGGCGCGAACGCGCGTTAATTACCGCGAAAGTTAAACAAATTGGCGGGAAACACATCATTGACTAAACTGTTTAAGAGTTGTGTCCTTTATTATACACTCACAGTGATGCAAAACTAACGTAGTTCAAGAGTAAATATTCATAACACAACATTTATCGAAATTTATATACAAATAGTTTCACACAGTGGACTTATTTATGGATATATGACGATGTAAACACTGATATTTTGTATTTATGTCAATATATTAGCAGGAGTTTACTACACTACATGCACAAATGAAGTTTAATTGAATCATGACAAACTTTATAATGTTGGAAAGGTTTTTGTCAGATATTTTACCACAGTTTATTTACATAAAAGTCATTATTTAGCTACAGTAATGGAGTCAACAAACATCATTAGTGGTGATGTTTGGTATTGCGCCCCAACAATATAATTGAAAGCTCATTTTTTGAGATATTAGTTTTAAAATTGCATTACAATTTATTCAGATTTTTTGTACTTAATTATACTTTTAACTATATGTCAATTAATAAATATAGACTTTTCTGTAAGTATACTTAAGTGCAATCTTAAGTAGGATGTCTTATTTTTTTGTTGTTTAAATTAAGTACACTAATTGCACACTTGAATGCAGGTGTGTTTAATAAGTGTTCTGGCTTTTGTTTCTCCTGTTTTTTTCCCTAGTTTGCTCACCTGTTGTCACGAAAGAGTAGCCTCTCTCAGTCAGGATCTTCATCAGGTAGTCAGTCAGATCACGACCGGCCAGATCCAGACGCATGATGGCGTGGGGCAGAGCGTAACCCTCATAGACGGGGACGTTGTGGGTCACACCATCACCAGCATCCAGCACAATACCTGCAGGTAGACACAGGATGAGTTTCAGAGAGCAGCAGTGTCTGTGTGTGTGTGTGTGTGTGTGTGTGTGTAAATCCAACAGGTGATGATCACAGCTGTCAGAGCCATACACACACATCATAATCTCACAGCATGCACTCACTGCCACACACTTCCACAGTCAATAATCACACTTCATAGTACGTGTAAGAGTCTGTATGGTCATTTTAAAACATCCTCTATGGGTGATTTACTCATTTCTTAATCATTGCATATGCACAGTGTCTGTTTATATACTTTCTGCTGCAGAACTTCTGTCCTTAAAACAAATTCCAGAAATAAAGGTACGCAAGCAGTCACTGGGGTTAAAAGGTACACTTTTGGATTTAAATATCATTACAAATATTGATACCTTACAAGTAAATAAAATACAATATGTAAAATAGCTTAAATGTAAATATTAGTGCCTAAAGGGTCCATATAAATGCATATTAGTATTTAAAGTGTTCATATTGGTACTTAAGAGTAAATATTAGGGTCAATACTGTAGTTTAAAATGATTATTAATACATTAAGGAGCCATATTGGTACCTTAAATATACATTTTAATACGTAAAATGTTCCTGTAAGTAAATATTAGTACATAAAGGGTCAATATTTCAGCTTATAATTAAATATTAGTTCCTAAATAGACCATATTGGTACCTTAAAAGTAAATATTAGCAATTAAAGGGTCCGTATAAATAAATATTAGTGTTTAAGGGGTCCATATTGGTACTTAAGAGTAAATATTAGGATCAATACTGTAGTTTAAAATAATTATTAATACATTAAGGACCATACTGACACCTTAAAAATACATTTAATACCTAATGTGTTCATTTAATACACAAAGAGTTAATATTTCAGCTTACAATTAAATATTAGTACCTAAATAGTCTATATTATAGATATTAATGTAAAAATTAATATCTAAAGAGACCATGTTGTAGATTAAATGTACATATTAGTACTTAAAGTACATATAAGTAACAATGAGAGTACCTAAAGTATATTAGTAACTATGAGTGTTCAATAAGAGTGTTCATTAAAACTCTTAAGAGTTCATGTTAAACCTTAGAAGTAAATATTAATATCTAAAGTGTTAAATTTGTAGCTTAATGGTAGATGTTAGTATCTAAAAATGACCTTTTAAAATGTTCCACCAACTCTGACTCTTAACTATTAAATAGGATTATTGACTAGGGGAATGTTTACAGCTAATTGCTATATTTCTGCTTGTTCTGTTTTCTGTTGATCATCCATGCTCTTAATAACTGTGTAATGAGTATAAGTGTGTGTAGACTGACCGGTGGTACGGCCGGAAGCGTAGAGGGACAGCACAGCCTGGATAGCCACATACATGGCAGGGACGTTGAAGGTCTCAAACATGATCTGCAGGAAGAGAAGTAAGAGTTTGAGGAGCTGCAGATGTGTTCTCTCTGGGGTCTGCCTTAAAGGCTAGCACACATTTTTGGAGCCTAAAAGAAGTCTATTAGACATCTAAACCAGACTATTGATCAAATAGACTAGAATGAATGACTCCACATGTGAGGTCTAAGTAGATTTAGACTATTAGTGTATTAGATTTGTACTGTAGGTCTTGTTTTAGCCATGATGTATATGCTGAGATGTCTATTAGACTTCTTTTAAACACTAAATTGCTTGGTGTGTACCTGAGTCATCTTCTCCCTGTTGGCCTTGGGGTTGAGGGGGGCTTCAGTGAGCAGGGTTGGGTGCTCCTCAGGGGCCACACGCAGCTCATTGTAGAAGGTGTGGTGCCAGATCTGCAGAGCACAATCACTGTTACACACACACTCCTGCTGAACGCATGACTGTAAGCTGAATATGAGTGTGAGAGCGCACCTTCTCCATGTCGTCCCAGTTAGTGATGATGCCGTGCTCAATGGGGTACTTCAGGGTCAAGATACCTCTCTTGCTCTGAGCCTCATCACCTACGTAGCTGTCCTTCTGACCCATACCCACCATCACACCCTGATGGAGAGAAAAGGGGCGTTAGAGACCAGCAAACAGCACTCTTACCAGCGGGACAGCTTGGAAATAATACAACAGACAGCACTGATAAACTACAGGGACAGATCAGTTTGAGACTAGTGGAAAAACACATGCTGAATGCACATGTGGGAGTCTGGAGCACTCAACCATTCTGTTACACTGATATACAGCAGTCAACATTTGAAGTGGATCGAAACCTTCCAGCAGACTTGTCCTAAATCTATTGATCAACACCCATTCTTGTCTTAGGGCCATCTTTTTTGATTCACTTTAAATCTTGACTACTATATAAATATATATACTTTTTATATGTATTTTCCTATAGCCTCTTTATAGCAGTGTGAGCTGTGTTTGAACTATCACTTTCAATGTTTGAGGCTCTTTTCTGTGTTTAAAATTATTATCTTCTATGTTAAAGGCTCTTTTCTGTGTTTGAAGCTCTTTATAATAGTGTGTGCTGTGTTTGAGGCTACACGTTTCTATGTTTGAGGCTATTTTTTGTGTTTGAAGCTTCTATTTTCTGTGTTTGAGGCTATTTTATGGGCTTGAGGCTATACTTTCTTATGTTTGAGCCTATTTTATGGGGTTGAGGCTATACTTTCCTATGTTTGAGGCTATTTTATGGGTTTGAGGCTATACTTTCCTATGTTTGAGGCTATTTTGTGTGTTTGAGGCTATTATTTTCTGTGTTTGAGGCTGTTATATGTGTTTTAGGCTCTAACTTTCTATGTTTGAGGCTCTTTTCTGTGTTTGAGGCAAAAATTGTCTATGTTTTAGGCTCTTTTCTGTGTTTAAGGCTCTTATTTTCTGTGTTTGGGGCTATTTAATGGATTTGAGGCAATTATTTTCTGTGTTTGAGGCTCTTTTCTGTGTTTGAGGCTATTATTTTCTATTCTTGAGGCTATATCATGTGTTTGAGGCTCTAACGTTCTATGTTTTAGGCTCTTTTCTGTGTTTGAGGCTATTATTTTCTATATTTCAGGATCTTGTCTGTGATTAAGGCTCTTATTTTCTCTGTTTAAGGCTATTTTCTTTGTTTGAGGCTATTATTTTATGTTTAAGGTTCTTATTTTCTGTGTTTGAGGCTATTTTGTTTTTGAGGCTAATATTTTATGTTTAATGCTCTTATTTTCTGTGTTTGAGGCTATTATTTTATGTTTAAGGTCCTTATTTTCTGTGTTTGAGGCTATGTTATGTTTGAGGCTATTATTTTATGTTTAATGCTCTTATTTTCCGTGTTTGAGGCTATGATTTTCTGTGTTTAAAGCTATTTTCTGTGTTTGAGGCTATTATTTTCTATGTTTAAGGCTATTTTATGTGTTTGAGGCTATGACTTTCTATGTTTGAGGCTTTTTTTCTGTGTTTGAGACTTCTATTTCCTGTGTTTGAGGCTATTATTTTCTATGTTTCAGGCTTTTGTCTGTGTTTTAGGCTCTTATTGTCTTTGTTTAAGGCTATTACTTTCTATGTTTGAGGCTATTTTATGTGTTTGAGGCTATTACTTTCTATGATTGAGGCTCTTATTTTCTATGTTTGAGGATGTTTTATGTGTTTGAGGCTGTTTTCTATGTTTGAGGCTATTATTGTCTGTGTTTGAGGCTCTTTATAACTTGTATGTGCTGTGTTTGAGGCTGTTTTGTGTTCATCCTGCAGTGTTTTTTTCACCTGGTGACGGGGTCTGCCAACAATGGAGGGGAAGACAGCACGGGGAGCGTCATCTCCGGCAAATCCAGCCTTGACCAAGCCAGAGCCATTGTCGCACACAAGGGCGGTAGTCTCCTCGTCGTCACACATGGTTGGTTTTCTGGTTGGTCTGTGCAGGACAAATCACAACAGCGCACAGTCAGACAGGCTGACAGTCTATAAATGCACATTTACAGTCAGCACAATTACACAGAAATGCACACGCTACATCCTGCTGTACTCTAGAGGCCTTAGAAAATAATGTCATAATAATAAACGTTCATTTACTGTAAATAACAGCTTTAAAAGTGGCATCTGAAAGAGCAGTGTTCATAAAGACATATGACAAATGTCAAATGATCCATCAGAATGGCTAATAATGTTAACAGAATAGTGGAAATCTGATTAGCTTATACTTAATAGGTATTATAAAAACATTTGTTGTCATGGCTTTTCTGTATATCGTTATATAAACTAGTCCAAAAAATACAATGCAAACATAATAAAACTAAAATAAAAACACATGAAAGCTACACAAAAAGATAAACACGAATAAACTATAATAAAAATAATAGTTATGATTTAATATTAATGTTAGAGTGCATGAAAACTAGTTCAAAACGATTCTAATAAAATTTCGAATTAAAAACTAAAATAAAAAATAGCGAATAAACAAAAAATAAATAAATATAATGAATAAACTATGAGGAGAAATTCATTTTAAATATAACAGTAATAATACTGAGAATAAAACCTAGAACAAAAAGCTTAGTGAAGATAATAAAAATGAATCAAATCAGATAAAATATACCCTAAAAAATAAAATGGAGATATATTAAATAGTAAATTTGTAAAAAATCAGCTATGCCTTAAGACACTGTTTTAAAACTAGAATGGTTATTAATTAATTTAATCTTAACGAAAGACTGCTCAGCAAGGGTGAGCAGTAATGAGCATTGAGTTTAAAACTAGAATGTGAAAAAAATCACTTAAAAACAATCCTAAAAAAATAATAAAAATTAAATAGAAATAATAATGACGATTAATTTATAATAGAGCTGATTTATAAACCACTAGCACGATTCAATAATTAACTATAATGAAGTTAATCTTGATGAAACATGTTCATTCAGTCTGCTCAGTAAGGTTAGGAGTTAGAAATCACGATTTTAAAACTAGAATCGAATAAAATCGACCCTAGAAATGAAATAGAAACAACATTTAAAAAGCACAACAATTGTTGATTGAAATTGTATAATATATATATATGCTCAATAAAAAAAGCAAAACAATTCATTTAAAAAGAGTCGAATCATATAAAAATCAAACAATTAGTTTAAAATTAGAATCGGGGAAAAATCACATAAAAACGACCTTAAAAAATAATCAAAAATCAAATAGAAATAAACACGACAATCAATTTAAATAGAGCTGATTTATAATCCACTAGAATGATTAAATAATTAACTATAATGAAGTTAATCTTAATGAAACATGTTCATTCAGTCTGCTCAGTAAGGCTAAAAGATGATTTTAAAACTAGAATCTAATAAAATCACATTAAAAACGAGCCTACAAATGAAATAGAAATAACATTTAAAAACCAAAATAGTAATCTAATTAGAGCCGATACCTATTAAAAATCAACCATGACTTAGAAGGCAATTTTAAAACTACAGTGGTGAAATATTAATTATATTTAAATCAATCTTAATGAAACACGTGCTCATTTAATCTGCTCCGCAAGGCTAAAATAATCAGCAATGAGTAAGAAGATCATTTAAATCTAGAATGATTAATAATGAATTAAATCTGAAGGAAGCACGTGTAGTTTGTGCTCAGCAAGTGTTACTGAAACCCAATCTCCTGCCGGCAGCTGAAGACTCGGACTGACAAATGCCAAAGAAAGGCTAGAGTTTAACAGGAGGACAAACGCTCTATTTCTGGTTTTCAGCTGTCGCTTCATGCATGCATTAGAGAAAACCCTCTTTAAACCTAGCAGTTCAAGCACAAGACTAATAAGCAAAGTTAAAACTCTCCCGGTAGCTAATCCAGAGAAATCAATGCATTTAAAGCCTAGAGTCGAGCGCTGGTCTGTAGGACTCACCAAGTTGTTATCACAAGACTGATGCTTCCACTGGGACGAAGACTGAAGGCGAGGATCCCCTTTAAATAAGAGCGGCTCCTGGGGGCCGAGGCGGAGCCTGGGGTTCACACAGGCCCAAATATGAGCAGGCAAGAAAAAATAAAAAAGAGAAAATAACCCTCTCCACCCGTGAATCTGATCTGAGCGCATGCAGCGCCGCCCTAAAATTAAGAAAGGCTTCCTTAGAATAGCGGGCCGGGGGCCAACCATCTGCACCGGGGGTCCTCAGCTGAAAAAACAACACTGTTGCATTGGAATTAAAGGAGATTTTTTTAATTTAAGTTCATTTATAGTAGGTTTCAAGTGATTTTAACTTAAAATATTGACATGTTTAAATCGCTTTTATAAATTAATTACAAAACGTTTGATTTCGTTGTAATCAGCATAAAACATATGTTGATCATGTATTTTTTATGTAGGTTAAATGCATTTTTTGCATGTCTGATTAATTGTATATTTAAGATATTGTATATTTAGCTAATATATATTTGTAAAAAAACACTCAAATGGCTTGCAAAAAAGTAATGTGCAAAATAGCTCTTAAATATATGTTGCATGGTTTATATCTTTTACATTTTATATTATTATATTTTGTAATATATAAATATATATATATATACACTCAAAAATATGTTATTTTTTACTTGTTAAAACTACTTATTTAAAATGAGCTGAAACAACACAATTCTTGAGATTTCATTGGGACAACTTAATTTTTTATGTTCAATCCACATATATTTGTTAACTTAATCGATTTGTGTTGGGACAACATGAATGAATTGTGTGGAACCTTGCATTTTTATAGTGTATATTATATTAATTTTACACAACATATTTTCACTACAAAATGTTGAGTCAAATTGATCTTATAACTTAAAATAATACTTTAAAACAGTTTTTAAAACTTGCGTTAGAAACATGTTTAAATTATAATCAACATAAAACACGTCGTTATGACTTATTGATCATATTTATTCTATATTTATTTAAAGTGTTCATATTTGCACCAAGAAACATTATTTATTTGTTTATTTATTATATTATATGATTATTACATGCTTTTGCTTCACCGCTGTAAAAAAAAAAGTCCTTATTGCTTTCAATTTTATGTTGAATCAACTAAAGCTTATCATTTATTTAAATATTTCAATGACATTGTTATGTTAGAAATATGATTAACTTCGTTTAGGAAGAATATATAATTTACATTAAAAACTCAAGTTGTCATGCAATATTTTTAAGTGCTTCTGCTGGTTTTGTTGGACACAATAAGCACATGTGAAATGTTTCGATCCATTTAAATTGTTTAATAATTAAACATCACAATTAATCTCACTGGCTGCATAGAAGCACGTCAGATTGATCTCTAGTTTTATCTTTTACAATTAATAGATTACAATCTTGAGTCACTTAAAAAAAGAAACTAAATGTTTTACTTAGGTAATTACAAAAAAGTTATGCGTGATTTTGGTGTATTTATTTTTTTTCTCAACATTTAGTTTATTTCACTATACGAGAGTGTATGTGACAAATAAAGGCCTGATTTTATTTGATTTGATTTTTATTATGTTAAATTTGTAAGCCCAGTTGAGATGAAAATTAAAAAACCCACAGAAATAACATGCATTACACATTTATAGTTACTTTTTTATTTACATTTTTAAAAAGTCACTTTTAAAAGTAATATATTACAATTTAAAGCTTAACTAACATTAAAAAAAACAATAACATACTTTACTTTTGAACACATTTAGGTACTTAAAAAAAACATGTAAAAGTAAAATATTACAATCTTGAGCCAGTTAAACAAAAACTAAATAAATATGTTGCTTTTTAAGGAAAGTAATTTTAAAGTAGTTTTATTTAAATTTTTTTCCTAATCTTAAAATAGCTTAAAATGGTAAGATATTACTCGGCCCACATGGAATCTGCGCGTGAGAATTCCGCAGATGTTTACCAAAATTCTCCGCAGAAATAGCAAAAAACGTCTGCAGATTCCGTCTGGCCCTGGATATTACTTTTAAAAGTGATGTTTTAAAAACTAAAAAAGTAAGTAAATTTGGTTGCTTTTTTAATAAAAGAAATATATTTTATAGATTTTTTCATCTCGACTGTGTCTAAGATTGTAATATTTTACTATTAAAAGCAACATTTATCAAATAAAAATAAAATAAATAAGAAACTAAATGTTTTACTTAGTTAATTTTTAAGAAAATGAATGTGTGTTATTTGTGTTTTCTTTTAATCTAATTTGGGCGTAAGATTGTAAAAGTAACAAATTGTGTTGCTTTTGAAGGAAAGTAATGCAAGTTTTTTTGTATATTTATTTTATTTATTACTCTCTCATTTTGGCTGTGCTTAAAATTGTAACATTATTTTTAAAAGTAACAAAAAAATGTTAAAGTTACTAAAAGTTTTACTTTATATACAAAGTAATGCATGTTTTTATTTGCTAATTTTCTATATTAATACATTACTTTTAAAAGCAACGTTTTAACTTTTTTTTTTAAAAAGTAACTTTTTTAAAAGCTTTTTATGTGTATGTTTCATCTTTGCTGTGCTTAAAATTGTAATATATTCATTTTAAAAGTAGTTTTTTAGGTTACTAAATATGTTAGCAATGTATGTTTTATTTGCATGTTTTTTTTATCTCGGCTGGGCTTAAGATTGTAATATAAAAGTTTGGAAAAGGTCACTTTTTTAAAACCAACCAAAAAAGTTCCTAAATACTTTACCTTATTTAATAAAAAGTAATGTACACTCAAAATATTTTTTTTTTTTGCTCGTTCAAACTACTTATTTAAAAAGAGCTGAAACAACACAATTCTTGAGATTTCATTGGGACAATACAATTTTTGTATATTCAATCCACATATATTTGTTAAGAGTGTTAAGGTAACTCAATAAATTTGTGTTGGGACAACATGAAGGAATTGTGTGGAACCCTGCATTTTTGACTGTGTGTTATTTGAGTATTTTAAAGCTTTATCCAATGTAAGATTGTAATACATTACTTTTAAAGGTAACCTTTTTTCCTTTTGTCAACTAAATGCAGGGTGTCCACGGGGTCTTAAAAAGTCTTAAATTTCAAATCTAAAGTTTTACTCTGGTTTCCCCCACAGTCCAAACACATGCGTACAGGTGAATTGGGCAGGCTAAAATTGTCTGTAGTGTATGAGTGTCTGTGTGTGTGGGTGTTTCCCAGAAATGGGTTGCGGCTGGAAGTGCATCTGCTGTGTAAAAAATTGTGCTGGATAAGTTGGGGGTTCATTCTGCTGTGGAGACCCCGGATTAATAAAGGGACTAAGCCAACAAGAAAATGAATGAATGAATGAATGAATGAATGAATGAGTCTTAAACTCACTGAAAGAATGTCCTGTAGGTCTTAAATCATTTTAAATGGGTCTTAATGTTCCCATGTCCATGTAAATTTATTTCTATTTAGTTTATTATTAATTTTCAAACATCTCCTTCTAAATTTCTTAAACTTGTAGACTTTCCTTTAAGACAATCGATTGAAAAGCATGCTTGTTTTGTAATTTAAGATGTGCCTAATAAAAAATTATAATTTTTTTTGATAGCACAAAGTCTATAGCACCAGTCTGCTGGCTCAACCAGGCCATAAGAAAAAAATCCTTAGCATTTAGCGCCGTTTAAGTCTGAAATTTCATTCATAATGGTCTTAAGGTCTTAAAAAGTCTTCAATCTGACCTGCACAATCCCTGTAAATGTGTTCCAGTTTCATTTTAATGACAGTGATGCATGTTTAATTTGTATTTTTCATCTTGGCTGGGCTTAAAATGATTTATTACTATGAAGTATAC